GGGGTTAGATACAGAGTAAAGCTCTTTCTACACTATTCTATTCCCCCATCAAACACTCCCAGGACAGGGACAGCATGGGGTTAGATACAGAGTAAAGCCTCCTCTACACTGTGCCCCATCAAACACTCCCAGGACAGGGACAGCACGGGGTTAGATACAGAGTAAAGCTCCCTCTACACTGTCCCCTATCAAACACTCTCAGGTCAGGGACAGCATGGGGTTAGATACAGAGTAAAGCTTCCTCTACACTGTGCCCCATCAAACACTCCCAGGACAGGGACAGCACGGGGTTAGATACAGAGTAAAGCTCCCTCTACACTGTGCCCCATCAAACACTCCCAGGACAGGGACAGCACGGGGTTAGATACAGAGTAAAGCTTCTTCCACACTGTGCTCCATCAAACTCTCTGAGAAAGTATGGGCACTGACATCCCAACTGAACCAGAGGAGACAGATAAAACTGTACCAGAAGAGACAGATAAAACTGAACCAGAGGAGACAGATAAAACTGAACCAGCGGAGACAGATAAAACTGAACCAGCGGAGACAGATAAAACTGCAGTGGACAAAGCTCAGGCTCAGGAGGCAAACATCAGGCAGCATCATCTAGTCTTCCACAACATTCATATTAAAATTCCAATTATCCAGGACAGCAGAGTCTCCCTTCTGTTCCCTCTGTACATATGTAATAAGGGTATTTACATGCATATTTTTAATGCACATTCTTGCCAAAGTCAAGCCCCACCCCATAAGAGAAACCAATTCTGAGAAAAACAGCGACAGATTGTGAACTCATTGAACTGAATCAAGCCAGATTATTCCATGCTCCTTGTAGTGAGGCAACATCAAAACCAGGAGGAGTAGGGCAGACAGAGCCTTCAGCCTGTTTCACTGTTCAAAGTAATCAGGAAACATTTCTCACTCTGTCCCAGCCTCAATGATATTGAGCAAGGGACAGGCAGGACAGGAGCATCATTTTGGGAGCATGGCGAGGGGTGGTTACACTGTCAAGAGGAAAGGGCAGTCATGGGCAATGAGAATACAGCAGGACGTCCTATCAGAGGCAACACAACAAAGGGGCAGAACAAAAGACAAGTGCACCAAGTTTTCACGTGGTTTAAAAAGGACAGGGGAAGGAAATTAAATAGCTACTTCCAAAAAAAGGGAACTGAATAAATAATTAAAGAGAATAAAAATGACCAGGTTTTGGAACGGGGCTAGCAAGGTAACTGGGCAGCTCTTTCAAACAAGAAAAATGGCTGCCTTTGAGGGGCATGGATAGGGTGAATAGTCAAGGTCTTTTCCCTGGGATGGGGGAGTCCAAAACTAGAGGGCATGGGTTTAAGGTGAGAGAGGAAAGTTAAAAGGGACCCGAAGGGCAATGTTTTCACACAGAGGGTGGTGCGTGTACGGAATGAGCTGCCAGAGGAAGTGGTGGAGGCTGGTACAATTACAACATTTAAAAGGCACCTGGATGGGTGCGTGAATAGGAAGGGTTTAGAGAGATATGGGCCAAATGCTGGCAAATGGGACTAGATCAGCTTGGTTGGTGTGGACATGTTGGACCGAAAGGTCTGTTTCCGCGCTGTATATCTCTATAATTCTGTAGCTGAGCACCAAAGCTCGCGTCCTTCCCAGACATCAAGATGCCAACTGACAATCTGAGCAGCTCAAGGGTCAAATCTGTACAACTGTGCCAGGAGGGTCTGACCAGTGACTCTTCATTCAGTATCAAACCTCTCACCTTGTCCTCACCCAACCCCTTGCTTCTCCCAATGCCCAGTATTCTTCTCTTCACCAGCTGTTGCTGCGATATCGTTCTACAGGGTAAGGGGTAATGTCCCCAGTAGTGTCTTCCCCAGACACAGCTCTCAAGTCAGACAAGGAATGATAATTTTGAGGAAAATACATACCTTCTTGGCATCTGTGGCCTGCTCTTCCAGGGGGGCAGATGCACCTGTACCCATTAATCTCATCCACACAAGTGGCTCCATAAGCACAAGGGGATGACTGGCATTCATCGATGTCTTAGAGAGAGAATGAAACGTGGGCATTAACAAAGAAATGAGGGACACTAAAAATGCTGATGAGAGCACGTGTTTCCTGCTCTGTCTAATTGCAAAAAGCCAGGCCTGATCTCCTCAGTCGCATCATTAGTTCCACAATAAAAAATCGAGTTAAAGCAGCCATTGACAGGCAGCTCTGTAAGAGGCTTTTATTTCCACAGCCTCATTCAGAGCCCTGTGCTCACTGCATTTGCAGCTGTGCCCTCACAAACTACCAGTAACTATTAAAAAATCACAGCTCCCGTTCCCTTCCCTCACCTCGGAGCGATAACAAGCCAGTGCAAACAGGAGAGGAGGAGGGGGGAGGTGGGGGGAAGGGGAGGGGTGGAGCGAGGAGGGGGCAGAGGGAGAAAGGAGGGGAGAGAGAGGGAGGGTGTCAGAGAGAGAGAGAGAGGGGGAGAGAAAGAAATAGAGGGGGGAGAGAAAGCGAGTGAGGGAGAGAGAGAGAAGGGGGGGAAGAGAGCAAGGGAAGAGAGGGGAGGGGAGGGGGGAAGAGAGAGGGGGAACAGAGAGGGGGTGGGCGAGGGGAGGTGAGGTGGGGGGGAGAGGGAGAGAGAGGGGGAGAAAGGAGGGGGCAAGAAGGGGAGGGAAAGCAAGGGGCGGGTAGGGAGAGAAGGGTTTAGAGAGAGGAGAAAGGGGTGGAAGGGAGAGGGAAGGTGGGGCGGGTGCGAGGAGAGCAAGGCATATTGTTGGGCAGGCAGGGACAAAAGGATTCTTTTTAAATAGATAAAGAGTGCAGCTGGAAATAAATGCAAAAAAATACCTGCCTGTCATCAACTTTATCCAAACCCACCGTTCACACCTTTCTGCAGCTCCTGTAATATCCAGTTCTGCCTGCTGTTTAAATATTGGATACAGTTTAAACTATTCATCAAAAGGAAAAAGTTGGAATTCCATTTCACTTCAACCTCGTGGGTTCTGACTGCCTTCAAATTCACCTCCTGTAACACGTACTTCCCTCGGGATTCTGTCTCTAGACAGGACTCCCAGACCCACCTGTGTAACATCACCAGGCTCTCTCCCTGCTTCCTCTGATCTGTTCCTGAAACCCACAGTGATGGGGGCAGCTCTTAACTGCCCTCTAGGCAATTAGGGATGGGCCGTATATGCGAGCGTATATGAACGTATTAAGAAAATGGTTTGACCGGTTCAGATTCCAGTCGATATTCAAATCCTGGGATTTACCAATCACCTGATACCCATTGATTCCAGTTTTGCTCGGGCTCCTTGATGCTACACTCAGTTGAATGCAGCCTTGATGTCAACAGCTAAACATCCCTCATACTGACCCTCTGTAGAGGGACAGGTCGCAGATAAATCAGCTCAAAATACAGTCATCGAATCATTGGGCTTTACAGCATGGAAAGAGACCCTTCAGCCCATCATGTCCGTGCTGTTCATAAAGCACCTGTCAACTTTACTCCTGATTCTTAGCACTTGGCCTGCAGCCTCATGCACACAGTGCTGTTTCAAGAGTTCAACTAAATACCACTTAAAGGTTCCCACCTCTACCACAGCAGCGAGCTCCAGACACCAGCACTCTCTGAGTGAGGAAAACATCTCTCTCTGTCCCGTCTAACCCTCTGGCCCCCAGTCACTGAGCCCTCTACCAAGGAGAAAAGTTGACTTGGATTGATCCTATTATGTCCCTCATCATTTTGTACATCTCCATTAGGTCCCCTGCCCAGCCTTCTGAGAGAGAGAAGGGGAAGGGGGCAGAGAGGGAGAAAGAAGGGGAAGGGGGCAGAGTGGGAAAGAGAGAGCAGGGGAAGGGGGCTGAGTGGAGACAGATACGGGGAAGGGAGCAGAATGGGAGAGAGAGAGAGAAGGGGAAGTGGGCAAAGTGAGAGAGAGAAAAGGGGAAGAGGGCAGAGCGGGAGAAAGGAGAGGAGAAAGGGGCAGAGCAGGAGAGAGAGTGACATAGAGACTCAGCAACATTGGTTTCAGCACACTCGAGTTTTGAAGGTATATAGTGCTGTGTGCCAACAAATCTCAATGGAAAGAGCAGTCAACTTGACACATTTCCAGAATACTCCCAGTGTGCATCAGCCTTGACTTGCTGTGGGTAACACTCTCGTTTCCCAGTCCAAAGATAGCAAGTTCAAATCCATGGCAGAAATGTGAGCGCAATGCATACTCCCAACGCAGTATGAAGCAAGTGCTCAACTATCAGAGATGCCATCTCTTATCTCCAACGTTAACAAAACCCCAAAGAGGCCCCTCAAGTAGGTGCAAGAAATGCTGTGGCATGATTTGAAGACAAGGGATGAGTTCAGCTTCATGCCCAGGTCAATGTATATAACACACTTCAACCATCACCATCAACTACTCCCTGGCCACGATAACCCTGTGTGTGAGAGATTGCTGGAGGTAAATTCGCAGCAATATTTCCTCCATTACTGCACTGCCTGCTTTTCAAAACAACACACTTTGGAATGTCACAAGGTCATGAAAGGTGCCACGGAAATGCAAGCTTTTTTTGAAAAAAAAATCATTTAAAATTGGGAGTCAGCTATAAAAAGGGACTAAACTGAAAGGTGGTATTACCAGCACATAGGATTACAGCAAAAAAAATTAAATCAAACAAGTATTTGCTTCATGAGCTGGACAATATTGATATAGCATCTTTTATGTTATAAAGCATCCTAAAGCAGTTCGTAGAGGCATTAGCGAACAACATTTGACACAGGCAAAATGCTATAAATTACATTTTAGTTGGCACAAAAGTAGATAAAATAGCATGTTTTTATTTTGAAGACAAAGATTCCTGAGAGTTTCTTTCGGATGAAAGAGGATAATGAGACCAGGGAGAGATAAGGGATAAAAGACTCCAATTCTTCCAGATGTGGCAAGGGGCTTTTCACTTTAAATGAAGAACTCGACCAGATGGTGTTGTATTATACGAGGTACAAGTGGCCTTCACTCAGCTAAATGTGTCAAGAGGTCAGAGGCGAACTGGAATAAAATGGGTGTTGGGTCACAATGGCACAAGCCCTGAACACGCTCTGCTGTGCATTTTAGTCACTTACTGATTCGACAGTCTGGTCCAGCGAAACCTGCTGCACACTCACACCGAAACCAATTCACACCATCCACGCAGATCCCTCCATTGTAGCTGCAAAGACAAAACACACCCCCAAACACTTGCTTGTTAGAAAGTGATCTCCTGATACAGCTGAGACACACACACACACACGCAGACACACACTCACACCAACACACACACACACCACACACACACAGACACACCACACACACACAGACACACACACACACTCACACCACACACACACATACAGACACACACACACACACCACACACACAGACACACACACACACACACCACTCACACACAGACACACACACACACTCACTCACACCACACACACACAGACACACACACACACTCACACCACACACACAGACACACACAGACACACACACACTCACACCCACACCACACACACAGACACACACACACTCACACCCACACCACACACACAGACACACACACACACTCACACCACACACACAGACACACACACACACACTCACACCACACACACAGACACACACACACACACTCACACCACACACACAGACACACACACACACACACCACTCACACCACACACAGACACACACACACACACACACACACCACTCACACCACACACACATGCACACACACACAGCACACACACACACGCAGACACACACACACAGACACACACACACACTCACACCACACACACGCACACCACACACACGCACACACAAAAATACAGACAACTTCTAACTCAAAATCAATGACGAATCAAATGCAAACTTCAATTGTCATTAACAGAAGGCATTTCTAGCACTAGGCTGACAATGGGAGAATGGAAGGTTCCAGAAGCCCTGCTATTACACTTTCGGTCTCCTACCCACATAGAATTTCCAGTGTTAACACTTGTCTTCTCCCACAGCAATGCCCCCAACTTGACCCACTGCCACCCCCCACTCAATCTTAAATATTAAAGCTTGAATTAAAACAGGAATTGCTGGAGAAACTCAGCAGGTCTGGCAGCTGTGAAAAGAGAAACTGACTTAATGTTTCGAGTTCAGTGACCCTTCTTCAGAACGAGTACATGTCATGGATAACACAGACCCTCTCCCTAGTTGTTCACTCTTGCTTCACAGGACTTAACTGGGAACAGGTTTATCAATTGTCAGTTCTGAAGAAGGGTCACCTGGACCCGAAACGTTAACTCAGTTTCTCTCTTCACAGATGCAGCCAGACCTGCTGAGTTTCTCCAGTAATGAACCAGTTTAGATTTGTTATTTGTTCAGTACAAGAGCAAGACCAACAGAATTGCAACAAGTCTGGTTCAAATGGGATTACATGCTGCACATCTATTTTTCAATTAGATTATGACATTCACCTCCTTTTTATCAATTATAACAACAGCTGGCTTACTCTGACCTCCCACTCTCCCAGTTGTCACCGATGTGCTGACTGGCTGTAAAGTATATATACTGATGTGGACATGAAGGAAACTTTTGATAATAGTTAAGATTTAAATCCATAGCCCCTCTCATTTTCTTAAGTATGGGAAGGCCATTTTCACAATATCATGTCAGTATGTCTCGCTGTGAGGCACCTTCACCCAACTTTGTGTTCAAGGCTCACTCCATGGCCTTGAGTTATCAGCAAGGAGGGAGAACTGAACCACTGGGGCTGCCATCTCTCGGTTCAGACATTTAAAAATGGTCCAAAATGGAGTCATTATGGACTCGAAAGATGAACTGTTTTCACAGATGCTACAGGCCTGTTGTGTTTGATCTCTAGAACTTTCTTCTTATTATGCATCCAACAGATTTGGTGTACAAGTGCGACCGAGTGCAAGAGAGTCTGTGTGTCTGTGAGGAGAGAGAGAGAGTGCGAGTGAGTGTGAGAGACAGTGAGAGAGCGAGAGAGGGAGAGAGCAAGGGAGACAGCAAGAGAGAGGGAGAGAGAGAGTGAGAGAGAGAGAGTGAGAGAGAGAGTGCGAGAGAGAGAGTGCGAGAGAGAGAGTGCAAGAGAGAGTGCAAGGGAGAGAGTATGAGGGTGAGAGAGAGAGAGTGTGAGAGCAAGAGAGTGTGAGAGAGTGCGAGAAAGAGTGTGAGCGAGAGAGTGTGAGCGAGAGTGTGAGAGAGAGAGAGAAAGCGTGAGAGCGAGAGTGAGAGGGAGAGAGCAAGGGAGCAAGAGAGAGTGAGGGAGCGAGAGTGTGTGAGAGAGACAGTGTGAGAGAGAGTGAGAGAGAGACAGTGCGAGAGAGACAGTGTGAGAGCGAGAGAGCGAGAGTGTGAGAGAGAGAGAAAGCGAGAGAGCGAAAGGGAGAGAGTGAGAGAAAGAGCGAGAGAGAGATTGTGAGTGAGAGAGTGTGAGAGAGTGAGTGAGAGAGAGAGAGAAAGCGTGAGAGCAAGCGAGGGACAGCGAGCGAGGGAGAGGGAGAGAGTGAGGGAGTGAGAGAGAGCGAGGGAGCGAGAGAGAGAGAGGGAGCGAGAGTGTGTGAGAGAGACAGTGCGAGAGAGACAGTGTGAGAGCAAGAGAGTGTGAGAGAGAGAGAAAGTGAGAGAGCGAGAGAGAGCGAGGGAGAGAGTGAGAGAAAGAGCGAGAGAGAGTGTGAGTGAGAGTGTGAGTGAGAGAGTGTGAGAGAGAGAGTGTGAGAGAGAGTGTGAGAGAGAGAGTGTGAGAGAGAGAGAGAGAAAGCGTGAGAGCGAGTGAGGGACAGCAAGCGAGGGAGAGTGAGAGGGAGAGAGTGAGGGAGAGACAGTGAATGAGAGTGAGAGAGCGAGAGAGAGAGTGTGAGAGAGAGAGAGCGTGAGAGACAGTGTGAGGGAGAAAGAGTGGCCATTTTGACAGATGTTGTATCTTGGGAAGTTGCCCATCAACTATTGCAATGAGTGACTCTTAAATTGAGCAGCTGTGTCACTGATAATTTGGAAGAGGATACAGAGGAGATTTACCAGGATTGGACCAACAATGAGGGCCTTCAGTTATATCGAGAGGCTGCATTTGCTTTCCTTGGAGCAGACAAGGTCAAGGTGAGACCAAAATTACAAAGAGTTTGAAGTGTAAACAATCAGAGAAGAGTTCTCATTTGCAGGAGGGTCAGTAACTAGTGGCAGAGGTTTAAGGCACAGGAACAGATCAAGGAAGTTCATTAGAGATAGTAGGAACTGCAGATGCTGGAGAATCCGAGACAACAAGGTGCAGGGCTGGATGAACACAGCAGGCCAAGCAGCATCATAGGAGCAGAAAGGCTGACGTTGGTGCAGCAAGATAACCAGGAATGCACTACCTTAAAAGGGAAGTGAAAGCAGACTCAATTGGAACTTACTACTGAGAGTGGATAAATACTTGAAAAGGGAAAATTTAAAAACACAGCTCAAGGGGAAATAGTAACAGTGGAGCCAACTAGATCTTTCAAGGGCCAGTATAGACACGATGGACTGAGTAATGTCTTTCTGTGCAGAAGGATCACATGTTGCAATTTTATTGCCAAGATGCTGGAGGTGGATTGAAAGCATGCCAGTCCTCTGGAAGTGGTACAGACCAAGCACTCACTTAAACATTAGCAATAAAGGAAACACTTCTGCCAACGCCACTTACCATGGGTGAGGACTGCAGTCATTCTTGTCTGTGGAACAAAACAAAAGGAATATTTAAATAAAACAAACAACAGCGGATGCTAGAAACCTTCGAGAAACACAGAAAATTCTGGAGAAACTCAGCAGGTCTGGCAGCATCTATGGAAAGAGAAACCGAGTTCACATTTCGAGTCCAGTAACCCTTTTTCTGAAGGAGGGTCGCTGGACTCAATATGTGAGCTCGGTTTCTCTTCACAGATGCTGCCAGACCTGCTGAATTCCTCCAGCATTGTCTGTGTTTGTTTGTAAAAGGAATATTCAACATTGTCAAAGAAACCAGAAAGGGCTGCAGGCACTTAGCCTGTCACAGTGAGGAAAGATAAACTCTCCATCACCAGCTCCCAGCCACCCAAGTCCCTGAAAACTCTAAACCAAAGTCTAGTGCCGATCCTCGTAGATTGGTGCCTCCATTATGACATTAAGGACACCCCTGTCCCTTCAGGTGAATGTAAAACCCCCCACAGAGACAGTCACCAATCCTCAACGCTGCTCTGAGACCACGGTCAAGGGACCTGCTCACATTGTACACAGTGCTGAAGTACCAACTCACTCAGGCGTGAGAGATAAATCAATCACGCCAACACACCATGTCAATATGCTGTACCAAGGCAGTGTCAGAGTCATAGGGTCAGACATTAAACAGCACGGAAACAGACCCTTCCATCCAACTCATCTGCACCGACCAGATATCCTAAATTAATCTACTCCCATTTGCCAGCATTGGGCCCATATCCCTTTAAACCCTTCCTATTCATCTACCCATCCAGAATCCTTTTAAAATGTTGTAACTGTACCAGCCTCCACCACTTCCTCTGGCAGCTCACTCCATACACACTCCAACCTCTACGTGAAAAAGTTGCCCCTTAGGTCCCTATTAAATCTTTCCCCTCTCACCTGAAACCTACGCCCCTCTAGCTTTGGACTCCCCCACCCTGGGGAAAAAACCTTGGCTGGTCACCCTGTCTTTTGGATGAGATGTGAAAGTGAGAACCCTCTTAGATCAGGTACTATTTCAGAAGGAGGGCTTCTTCCTAATGACTAGAGAAATATTAATTCCCCAAATCAGTAGATCATAGAATCACGGAATCCTTACAGTGTGGAAACAAGCCCTTCGGCCCAACAAGTCCACACCGACCCTCACAGCATCCCACCCAGACCCATCCCCCATAACCCACCTAATCTACACATCCCTCAACACTATTAGCAAGGCCAATCCTCCTAGCCTGCACATCTTTGGGCTGTGGGAGGAAACCAGAGCACCCATGCAAACTGTCACATTAAAACCTGCAGCACTTTGGTCTGTTTAAGCTGGCTTCTGGAGGATGCGTGGGAGAACGGGTGCCTAGCGCACAGCGACAATGAGTGGAACTTACTCTGACTGCAGGTTGGACCTTCCCAGCCTTCCTTACACACACAGGAGAAGGTATCACCACTTCCCACACACGTCCCTCCGTTCTTGCACGGGTTCGGGATGCAACTACTGTTCTTGGCTGGAAGAAATTACATTTTCACGTCACATCGCTTCAACACATAACAAATGCAAATAGTAAAAGGTGTGGAGAGATGATGGAGGGAGGAATACTGTGGCTATATCCGAGCAAGGTCAGTGACACCATTAGTGAGCACACACAAAGGTACCAGGAGGATGTCCTGTGATCAGCATTGCTGCAAAATCATGATGTGGAGGTGCCGGTGTTGCACTGGGGTGGACAAAGTCAGAAATCGCACAATGCCAGGTTATAGTCCAGAGATAGTAGGAACTACCGATGCTGGAGAATCTGAGATAACAAGGTGCGGAGCTGGAGGAACACAGCAGGCCAAGCAGCATCAGAGGAGCAGGAAAGCTGACATTTCGGGTCTGGACCCTTCTTCAGAAATCCTGAAGAAGGGTCCAGACCCGAAACGTCAGTCCTGCTCAGCCTGCTGTGTTCATCCAGCTCCGCACCCTGTTATTCCAGGTTATAGTCCAACAGGTTTATTTGAAATCACAAGCTTTTGGCGCGGTGTTGGACTAGGACCTGGTGTTGAGTGAGTTCTGACTTTGCAATATCATGAACAGCACTTGAATATAATGCACATGTTGGCCTGTTGATCTTTGTAGATCTATGCTCCCCTGCCCCTTCCCACTCCAGCTGATCTACTTTACCCAATGTCAGGAATCCAAAGAGTTTAGCCAGGGAAATTTTGCAAAAGGTTTGTGGGTTTGCTGATCAACTCAGGGATGCATCAGGGAACTTAAACGATCTTAAGGACCAGTTTATTCTTCTGCAAATTTTTCTTCAATCCTGTGTACTCCCCACATTCCTGCTGATATTTCCTTCCATCTCAATATGGGGTTTGAAGATTGACGCTGTGCCGCCTCACTGGAAGACAGTGCGAGTTTTAACTGGGTCCCAATCAGGTACCTGGCCAGGTTTCCTTCATGTGCAAATTTCAGCGAGCAACACTCAAAAGCAAAATGCACACACTTCCCCCCACCACTCCCCACCACCAGCTTGACTGTGTCACAAGTCCCTGAGGAGGAGTGTAGGTACAAGACCATTTCACAATTTACAGGCAAGTGCTGCATTGTCAGACAACATGGCCTCCAGGCGTCGAGTGAACATCTCACTGAAGGATGTAAAACATCTCATTCAACCTGGGAAACAGGGTTGTTGGCAAGTTATATTACAGCTGTACAGAACTGTAGTCAGGCCACTTTTGGAATATTGGGTACAGTTCTGGTCACCACACTACCAGAAGAATGGTGGATGCTTTGGAGAAGGTGCAGAGAAGGTTTACCAGGAATGATGCCTGGTTGGGAAGGTTTTCGTAATGAGGAGAGATTGGATAAACTCAGATGAGGGGTGACCTGATAGAGGTCTACAAAATTATGAAAGGCATCGATAAGGTGGATAGCCAGAGTCTTTTTGCCAGCACGAAAAGGTTAACTACGAGTGGGGTTAGGTTCAAGGTGAGAGGGGGAAAGTTTAGGGGTGAAGTGTGGGGAAAGTTTTGGAACGCACTGCCAGCCGAGCTGGTGGAAGCAGGCACATTAGCAACATTTAAGGTGTATCTTCATAGACACATGAACGGGAGGTGAACAAAGGGATAGAAACCGCATAAAAGCAATAAGTGGTGGGCATAAATAAGGATTAGGATTGGGCACAGGCATGGTGGGCCGAAGGGCTTGCTCCTGTGCTGTATTGTTCTTTACCGTTGTTTGTTCTTTGAGAAAGATACTTTAGAAGCTGTACCATGGAAACAGAGAATGCCATGAGGAAGACAAACTCACCAAGATTACAGGTACCGCCACCCCACTCTGGGGAACACGCACACCGAAAGGTATCTCCCACATCGTGGCATGTGCCACCGTTACTGCAGGTACTTTCATCGCATTGATTCTCTCCTATAAAAATAAACATTGACTGGCTAAATCATCATGGTCAGGCAGAAAAGCAGGGTTCAAGTTCTGGATCAGCTAAGGCTTTTTAAATGGCAGAGATCACTTGATGGGCTGAATGGCCTACTCGTGCTCCTATCTTTAAGGATAGTCCAAGAACTCGTAATTATAAATCACGTTTAATGTACTAAGAACTCCCAACACAAGAGCATAACCAACTCAACAAGACCTTAAGCCATTACAGATTGTGAAGTGTATGTGTGTTCTGGTGACTCCTTTCCTTTAGGGAAGGGAAGCTCGTGTTCTTACCTGGTCTGGCCTACATGTGAGTCCAGACCCACAGCAATGTGGTCTACTCTTCATCATCCTCCGAAATGGCCAAGCAACCCCTTAGCTGTTTTAACCAACTCGGAGTTCAGAAAGGAATGAAACTGGATAGACCATCTGGCATTAACCAAGGCACCAGAAACGATAAACCCAGGCCTATTCTCCCGACTCTATACCATTTTCAATCTGTGCAGGAGGGTGTGCAAGGAGCAGGGCTGGTCACGTAATAACCAGGTGTCAACCTGGTGAAGCTCCAACACAGGACTACTTGCATGCCAAACAGTGGAAGCAGCAAGTGACAGGGGATCAGATTGAGGCTCTGCACTCCTGCCACCTCATTTGTGAATGGTGGTGGACAATTAGAGAACAAACAGGAGGAGGCTCCACAAATATCCCCTTGCTCAATGGTAGGGGAGCCCAACACATCAGTGACAGAGAGCCAGGTGCTAAATTGGTAATTCACCTCTGCCTCCTCCACAGGTCCCCAATCTACAGCCACTTCAATTCATTCAATGGGATATCAAGGTAAAACAGCTAGAGGCACAGGATACTGCAAAGGCTATGGGCCCTGACAACATTCTGGCAATAGTACTGGAGACCTGTGCTCCAGAACTTGACAAGCTCCTAGCCAAGCTGTTCCAGTACAGTTACAACACTGGTATCTACTGGTAACCATTGGCCAGGAGTCATACTTGGCAAATAAGATGGTTGTGGTTGTGGGAGGTCAGACATCTCAGCTCCAGGATATCTCTGCAGGAGTTCCTCAGGGTAGTGTCCTAGGCCCAACCATCTTCAGCTGCTTCATCAATGACCTTCCCTCCATCATAAGGTCATGTTGATGACGTTCGCTGATGATTGCACAATGTTCAGCACCATTTGTGACTCCTCAGACACTGAAGCAGTCCATGTTCAAATACAACAAGATCTGAACAATACCCAGGCTTGGGCTGACAACTGGCAAGTGACATTCGTGCCACACAAATGCCAGGCACTGACCATCACCAATAAGAGACAATCTAACCACCGCCCCTTGGCATTCAATGGTATTACCATCACTGAATCCCCCACTATCAACATCCTGGGGATTACCATGGAACAGAAACTCAACTCACCACATAAACACAGCGGCTACAAGAGCAGGTCAGATGCTGGGAATACTGCGGCAAGTAACTCACCTCCTGACTCCCCAAAGCCTGACCACCATCTACAAGGCACAAGTCAGGAGTGCGATGGAATACTCCCCACTTGCCTGGATGGGTGCAGCCCCAACAACACTCAAGGATCTTGACACCATCCAGGACAAAGCAGCCGCTTGATTGGCATCAAATCCACAAACATCCGCTCCCTCCCGCACCGATGCTCAGTAGCAGCAGTGTGTACTATCTACAAGCTGCACTGCAGAAATTCACCAAAGATCCTCAGACAGCACCTTCCAAACCCACGACCACTTCCATCCAGAAGGACAAGGGCAGCAAATGCATGGGAACCCCCTGCAAGCCACTCACCATCCTGACTTGGAAATATATCGCCGTTCCTTCAGTGTCGCTGGGTCAAAATCCTGGAACTCCCTCCCCAAGGGCATTGAGGGTCTACCCACAGCAGGAGGACTGCAGTGGGTCAAGAAGGCAGCTCACCCCCACCTTCTCAAGGGGCAACTAGGGACGGGTAATAAATGGCCTAACCAGCAAATATCCACATCCCTTCAACTTCAAAAATAAATGGACTGCATTAACATTTAAGGAACACTACATCGTTTGAGGATAAAATCTGCCTTTTTTGTTTATGTCATTTAAAAGAAAACACCACGCTAATGCTGGATGTGGTGATGCTGCAGTAGAGAAAACCCTGCTGGTTGTATAGCCTGCAATCACCCACCAACAAGTGACCAAATAATCTGTTTCAGCGATACTGGGTTGAGACACGTGTGTGGACCAGGGCACCAACAGAGTTCTTCTGCCTGACTGTGAATGGTGGAAGGGAGGCCCTTTTACATTGAGAGATGATAGACAGCATCAGTTTAACGTCTCAATCAAGGATAGCAAGCAGTGTCTCCAAGATGCAAGAGCTGAACCTCAGGCATTTCTTAAGAGTCCAGTGAGTTAGCGTGTACTGCAAATGCAGGTCATCAGGGGAATATGCTTCAGTTTGAAGGCCGCATAATAGAATGCACAAACTATTCTGTCATTATCCAGTGTGACCTCACTGATTCCTGGCTGGGATATGTGAAATATTAATTGCTCACTCTCTTTCAAGGACTAAGGCTTGACTAAAATGTTTCAACATATTCATGCCACATTCCCACTTTTTCTCTTTACAACTGATTTTATAGGAGTCACAGACTCATACAGCACAGAAACAGACCTTTCGGTCCAATGCCTGAACATAATCCCAATCTAAACTGGTCCTACCTGCCTGCTCCAGGCCCATATCCCTTCAAACCTTCCCTATGTGTGTACTTATCTAACTGTCTTTTAAACATTGTGTTGTAGTTGACTTTCCATTGCACTTTCTTTTTTTAATTCATTCACGGGATGAGGGCGTCACCGGCCAGGCAGCATTTATTGCCCACCCCTAATTGCCCAGAGGGCACTTAAGAGTCAACCACATTGCTGTGGGTCTGGAGTCACATGTAGAACAGACCGGGTAAGGACAGATTTCCTTCCCCAAAGGACACCAGTGGTCCAGATAATGGTAATCCAGATAATTTTCCGATAATCGACAATAGTTTCATGGTCATCATTCAACTCTTAATTCCAGATTGTTGTGCAGCATCAAGCAGTTTGACAGAATTTAAGTTTCGTCTCTTCTTCTGACTAAATAGTTGCATTCCCAGTCATTGGGAACAAGAGCCTCCTGCTTTTTCACTCGTGGCCCCTGCTGCATTACCTGGCCCTGAGCTCAGACAACTAGGAAATAGCTACTTTCAACAAGACAAGGGATTCACTCCTTGGCAGGCCAGGGAGGAAGGGACAGTAGAATGCTTATATAATAAATACAAACAAAATACTGGGGAGATGCACACATACATGGAGACAGTGAACTGTACACAGCACAAGGAAATCCTCCCACACACAAAAATGGTGGCCATTACTCACCTATTTCACACAGTTCTCCTTCCCATCCATCGGGGCAAATGCAATGGAAGGAATCGATCCCATCAATACAGGTGCCTCCGTTTTTACACTGATTCAATGTACAGTCATTGATATCTACAGAAAGACAATTCAAGTTACCGCAAAGACCAAACTAGGAAACATCAACTAACCTGCAACATTAGGTGGACAAGAAACTAAAGTCAGCACTATCCTATTGGACCCTGGACTTAGAGAGAGAGACGCCCGGTGGCAGTTGAACCTGAGGCTCACCACGCCTCAGTTCTGAAGAAGGGTCACTGGACCCAAAACATTAACTCTGTTCCTCTCTCCATAGATGCTGCCAGATCTGCTGAGTCTCTCCAGCAATTTCTGTCTCTGTTTCGGATTTCCAGTGGTTTCTTTTTGTTTGGAGCTAACCTGCACTCTGCTCTTCTCCAGGACAATAGGTGTGACATTTTTCGCGTACAACCCAGGAGAGGCGGGATACCAGTATTAACATTTCATCTGACCAACGTCACGTCCAACAATGCTGCATTCGCTCTGAAACGCACTGGGTGATGGGCTCAAGCATCTGGTCCAGAGTCAGCTGGTTCCTGCTGACTTAGCTTCCAAGTTTCACAAAGTAGATAAAGGAGTTCATGCAGCTGGAAAATCGAGCTGACATGGGATGGCAGTGAACTGGGAATTGTCTAGTGTTGACGATTCAGAACTCCCTTGCAACGCGTTAAAAAACAAACCAGGCCAAGCATTATGTGACAATGCTGGCAGGGTCTTCACTTACTTTCATGGCAGTACATTCCAGTGAACCCTCGGTCACAGGCACAGGTAAAATTCCCAGCAGGCTGGCTGATGCACTTGCCACGGGGACCACAGACGTTGGATGAGATGAAGCGGATACCACCCTGACTGGTATTGCTGGAGACTGCCACAGTACAGCTGTCGATCACTGCAAAGGGACACCAGTATTTTATCAACAGGAATGCCACACAACATCCACTATCCCTCAAATCTACTCCTCACTCCCACCACACCCCTCAACACCCTGCAATTGCCCTGTGTCTCATCGATGCTGTGTACTTCAGTGTCCTCCCCTGGTGACTTGTTCCTAAAACTATTTCCCCTTTAGGTTCACAGATTCTTTCCAACTTCCCCTTTTACTCCAGTCTCCCCGTGTTTTGCCTAACGATCCCTGTGATTTGAATCATTAACTGCAGCCGACAATTTCCTTCAATCAATTTAGTCAATTCCAACTGCAGCTTCAACTCGGTCAAATGGAAATCCCTTTTCCGAATACAAACAAACCCAATTTCCTCAATTTAATGTGTTAATACTCCTGCCCACTGGTCTCCCTGCACTCTCCTGGGACCAGAACATCCTTGTTCTGATTAATGACTAGGGCTGTGCTTCTTTAGATAGTGCAAAGTTAGCAGGTGAGAAACTAGCCAGGCTGCAACACCCTGATTTACACAAGATACTTCTGTCCTCTCACACACACACACACATAGACACAGACACACACACACACTCACACACAGACACACAAACACACACACTCACACAAACACACACCCCACAGACACACACACAAACACACACAGACACACAAACGCACACACAAACACACACCCCACAGACACACAGACACACTCACACACACACAGACACACACACATACACACTCACACAGACACACAAACACACAGACACACAAACACACAGACATACACACACACACACTCACACGCACACAGATACACATACACACACACACAGACACAGAGACACACAGGAAGTATATCAACGGCACAGTTCAAAGAGAGGGTAATTGAAGAGAGGAAGACATACAAACATCAAGCAGTCACACCAAAACCCAGATTAACAGAGGCACAGTGGATACTGACCCTGCAGACTGAATGTTCAGACATCATGACTGTGATGTGGTCTACACTCATTCTACACGGCACAGTGGCTCAGTGGTTAGCACTGCTGCCTCACAGCGCCAGGGATCCGGGTTTAATTCCACCCTCGGGCAACTGTCTGTGTGAAGTTTGCACATTCTCCTCGTGTCTGTGTGGTTTTCCTCCGGGTGCTCCGGTTTCCTCCCACAGTCCAAAGATGTGCAGGTTAGGGTGGATTGGCCATGCTAAATTGCCCATAGTGTTCAGGGGTGTGTAGATTAGGGGGATAGGTCTGGGTGGAATGCTCTGTCAGTGTGGACCTGTGGGCTGAAGGCCCAGTTTCCACACTGTAGGGATTCTAGGGTGGTAGGAGGAGGTTTTATTTAAAGCACACTGGGATTCCACCGAAGGTGCTGGATGTAACTTGTTATCATTTGGGGCTAGAGATTGCACCCTCTGACACTAGAGGCACCATTTCTTCCTCAGGCTGCTAACTCCCCGACATGCATAATTTTAATGTGATCGGAGGAAGGTATAGGGGAGATGTCAGAGGTAGGTTCTTCACACAGAGAGTGGTGGGTGCGTGGAATGTGCTGCCAGCGGTGGGAGTGGAGTCAGATACTTTAGGGACATTTAAGAGACTCTTGGATAGGCACGTGGGGGATAGTTGTTAAATGTAGAGTATGCAGGGTAGTTTGATCTTTGACTAGGATAATAGGTCGGCACAACATCGTGGGCCGAAGGGCCTGTACTGTGCTGTACTGTTCTATGATCTATGTTTGAGTAAAGCTTTTTTGGCCCATATTATAAATCGCCCTGTATGTACTACTCCCTGAACACACTCAGGTTTACCAGTTACTTGCAACGTTGCTCTTTTGCTGTTCCCTGGCCTTTGTGCATCGTGGAGATCTTCTCACTATTGAGAGGGAGTGTGGAAGCAGACCCTGTGCTATGGGCAGTCATTACCAGGTGTGTGTGTCTACCAGTATACATGGAACAGTAGCATAGGGACCCCACTCCCTTCACACAGAGCTCACTTGATAAAGGCAGGTGGCTTCAAGGAACAGAAAAGCTTCTTCAGAACCTGGCTTGTGTAGTGTTTAGGTTGGAATTGAAAACTCACAAAAGGCCAGGATTCCCTCACTTCCAAACATATTAACTGCAGCAACACTCAAGCATCACCTTGGAATAGCCTACAGGCAGTTTAATAGCTCTCCTGCCCTAGCCAGCAGCATTGCCAAAGTCACCTTGGTATAGAGAGCATTTTGAAGCAGCCGAATCTGCCAGGAATAACTTATTTGGAAACGAGACGCCACTTGCTACTGATGGAGTACTGTGAAGTCGAGCAGTCACTTCACGGCCAACAGCAACGTTTTATAAACAAAATGACCGCCAGTCAGTATCCTAGGCAACAACTGTCGAAGTAGAGAGTTCGAGGCTCACCTAGCGCAGATTTTCCCTATCCTCTGGGCTGGGAGGCCCAGTGGCTTCAAGTCCCACCCGACCCAGAACCATGTAATAACATCGCTGAGCAGGTTGCTTCAGAAATATCCGGCCACTGATACCTTGGCAAGGTGCAGATCTGCAGTGGTCCTTCAGGAAAGAGCAATTCTTTCCCTCATAGTCCTCGGGGCATGCACAGTAATAATCTTCACCAAGTACGTAACACCTTGCTTCGTTCTGACATGGGTTCGGATCACAATAATTGATTTTTCTCTGTGATACAGGGAGTAAAAACGTAACAGTAAGATTCAGCAGAGCTATGAAACTGCACTGAAGTGCACACTAATGCATCGTTCTTGCATCCCCTCCAATCCATGAATCAATTTAATCACTTTTCAATCTATAATCTTTGCTGAGATCACAGTCAATGCTCCTCTGAATTCCTCCTATCCTAAAGTCAAAACAGACAACCCCTACCTCCTCACAGCTCTGAAATGAAAAAAAACTTTTCACACCATTCTCTTGTTTATAATTAACACTTCGAAAAGCGTGGGCTTCCTCCTCTCTGTCCCTCCCACTATCTACAGGTTGCAAAACCCATCATAATTATCTAAATGGCTGCTTCCTGATCGTCCCTGCCTTTCCTTCAGTCCAACTGCATGAGCCTGAACCTTCCAACTCCATTTCTCAAACCAAGAATCAAACTCTAGGTACAGGGCATGCAGAGAGCATAATATGAGGACTCCATCATATCTGACCCTTTAAAGAGTAAATCAACAATCTTTAAAAACTGAATCTACTAAACACCAGTGATAGTAGGAACTGCAGATGCTGGAGAATCCGAGACAACAAGGTGCAGGGCTGGATGAACACAGCAGGCCAAGCAGCATCATAGGAGCAGACCTCTACTAAACACCAGTTCGGAGGAGGGGTGAGTGAGGTGAGGCACAAAGGAATTGACTGCGCAAAATAACTGCCTTTTTTCTAATCCCACCAGAGCACTGAGTAGATTAATTCTCAGCAGCTGTTGGGGATGGGTTTAAATAAAGACAGAAAGCCCGTTGAAAGCCATACTGCCGAGTAGGATAATCACATGAAAGGCAATTCACTGCAGCAAAACTAATCGGTACACTTGAACATACTCAAAGTTGGTGGTATCAAGAAAATGTTTTTGATTAAACAAAATGGCCCATCTTCAAGTCATAAAACAATTTAGATAGAACAAATCTGGGGTGATACAATGCCATTACCAGCAGACATAGTACAGTACGTTATAGAGGAGCTCATTCAGCCCAGCAATACTATCTGGTCTCTGATTGAGCACCTAGCCTTGCTCCATCATCCTGCAATTAATCTCTCTCTTCAATTATTCATTCACTTTCTCCTCTGGAAGTCAGGATTGAATTTGTTTCAAGCATCTTGTTCGGGAGTGCGCTTCTAGTTTGTAACAACTGAGGAAAGTTGGAGAAGGAGATGGCCATTCAGCCCCTCAAGCCTGTTCCACCATTCAATGTGATCATGGCGGAGCTGTGGCTTAACGCCACATACCTAACTCCTCCTGCCTTTGGCCCATTCCCCTTAATGCCTTTCTGTAACAAAAAATTATCCATCTCAAATTTAAAATTAACAACTAATCTAGCATCAATTCTCTAAATGGAAATCGCTTTCATTTGTACTGGAGTCTTAGGTCAGTTTATCTTAACACTGGTGTCCTCTGGTTATAAATCACCTGCTCACACTAGAAACTGTACAAGTGTCATTACCATTAGGTCTGCTGATAGTGGCCAAGCAAGTAGATAGGCTGGCAAAGACAAGCTATGGCATGCTTGGTTTTATTGGACAGGGAATTGAGTACAAGAGACAGGATGTCATGTTGCAGCTTTATAAGACTTTGGTTAGGCCACACTTAAGAATATTGTGTTCAATTCTGGTCACCACATTACAGGAAGGATGTGGAGGCTTTGGAGAGGGTGCAGACGAGGTTTACCAGGATGCTGCCTGGAGTAGAGGGTATGAGCTATAAGGAGAGGCTAGAAAAACTCGGGTTGTTTTCTCTGGAGTGGCGGAGGCTGAGGGGAGACTTGATAGAAGTCTATAAAATTATGAGATGCACAGATAGGTTAGACAGTAAGAATCTTTTTCGCAGAGCTGCAATGTCTAAAACTAGGGGGCATGCATTTTAAGCTGCCGTGGTGGTGGGGGGGGGAAGAGTTCAAAGGAGATGTAAGGGGCAGGTTTTTTACACAGAGAGTGGTAGGAGTGTGGAACACACTGCCAGGGGTGGTGGTGAAGGCAGGTACAATAGGGGCATTTAAGGGGCTTTTAGATAGGCACATGACTATGCAAGGGATGGAGGGATATGGACCAAGGGCAGGCAGAAGGGATTAGTTTCGTTTGGCTTCATGTTCGGCACAACACTGTGGGCCGAAGGGCCCATTCCTGTGCTGTACTATTCTATGTTCTCTGGCCAATCCCCAGTGCAGTACGTAAGCAATGGCCAAGGATTGAACAGACGTTTTAGCTTTAATCAATTGAAAGGACATGATTCAGGCAGCAGAGAGGTGGAGGTGGAGATCAATCATTCCACCCTACTCCAATTTCCAATTGCATTACATTACCAGCAAGAGGCTGAGACTTGACTTACAGACATATACAGGAAAACATGACATTGATCTGCCTTTAAGCATCGTCAGACAGGCTATTTCTGCACAGTGGTGATGGAATAAGGCAGACGAGCTTTTTAAATCATGTTCAGTCCCAGTGTAACCGAACCAGCTCTCTACAGACGGACCAGTCCCCAAATAAGCAACCCACTGTGCTGATCACCTCTGTCACGCATCACATTAAAAGGTGCCACCATGGGACCATCACATTGCCCTGAAGCTATTTAGGAGCTTTTCAGGCCAAAGCAAAGACGACAGCTCTTCTGACCAAGTCACAACTCCAGAATAAGGTGTTGAGCAGATCTTTCCAGTTGTGGGGGGGGAATAAAGCTTGAGGTCATAAATAAAGACAGTCACAAGAAAAGCCAATTCAGGAAATGTCTCTTTACCAGAAGAGAGTGGTTAGGATGTGAAACTTGCTGGTGCAGGGAACTGTCCATTGAACAGAGTCCCTACGGTGCGGAAAGAGGTGATTCAGCCCATCTAGTCTGCACTAACCCTCCAAGAGCATCCCACCCTACCCCTGTAACCCCGTATTTCCCATGGCTAACCCAACTAGCCTGCACATCCCTGGACACTATGAATGCTACAGGAAGATGTACTAAGCGGATTAGATGAAGTAATAGGGAGGAGGTTTACGTGAAGCATAAAGGTATGGGTCAGAATTCTATGTAATATGCTGTGATTGGTCATCAGAGGCTGAATTTTGATACAAATTTATCTAGTGCATTGTAATGATGCCTTCAGAGTGGCCCACTTACTTCTAATGTACTCCTAATTACTCCGAAATGTTTTTCATTTCCAGACATCTATCTGCTCTCCTTTTTAATACCTGGTCGTGATTCTGCTACCTCCCCTATTTTCAGTCAGACATTCCATTTCCCAACAACTATCTGCAGGAGAAATTCAGCACCAGTATCTCCCTCACTTCTCTTGCCGATTATCTTATGACTTGTTCTCTCTAATTACATACTCAGCAATCTTGAGAAAGCTTCTCTTTCTAGGTGTATGTAAGACCTTACGATGTAGGAGGAAGACTAGACCATTCAGCCCAGTCTGCTCCAGCATGCACTCAGACTGTAGCTGGTCTGATAAAACTCAACTCCACTTCCCTGCCTTTTCTCGATTCCCTTACATGTCAAAACCCCTCACACTGTTTTGTGGTCCATTTCCCCTGGCAGCCTCCTGTTTATCCTGACAACTAAGACCTCTCAACACAGGATCACCTCCAGTACCCTGACCTTGCCCTGGAAATACATCATCTCCAAATGGTGGGACTAGAGTCATACAGTCTACGAGATGTACAGCACGGAATCAGGCCCTTCGGTCCAACTTGCCCATGCCGATCAGACATCCTAAATTAATCTAGTCCCATCTGCCAGCATTTGGCCCATATCCCTCTAAACCCTTCCTATCCACGTACCCATCCAGGTGCCTTTTAAACGTTGTAATTGTACCAGCCTCCACCACTTCCTCTGGCAGCTCATTCCATACACGCACCGCCCTCTATGTGAAAAAATTGCTCTTCGGGTCCCTTTTAAATCTTTCCCCTCTCACCTTAAACCCATGCCCTCTAGTTTTGGACTCCCCCATCCCAGGGAAAAGACTTTGACTATTCACCCTATCCATGCCCCTCATGATTTTATAAACCTCTATAAGGTCACCCCTCAGCCTCCGATGCTCCAGGGAAAATAGCCCCAGCCTTTTCAGCCTCTCCCTGTAGCTCAAACCCTCCAACCCTGGCAACACCCTTGTAAATATTTTCTGAACCCTTTCAAGTTTAACAACATCTTTCCTATAGCAGGGAGACAAGAATTGAACGCAGTATTTCAAAAGTGGCCCTAACCAAAGTCTTGTACAGCTTCCCAACTCCTATACTCAATGCACTGACCAATAAAGGCAAGCGTACCAAATGCCTTCTTCACTACCCTGTCTACCTGCGACTCTATTTTCAAGGCACTATGAACCTGCACCCCAAGGTCTCTTTGTACGGCAACACTCCCCAGGACCTTACCATACCATCTGTGAGATTAAATGTACAAGTCCTGCCCTGATTTGTCCTACAAAATTTGTCCTCCATCTCACATTTATCTAAATGTTACATTTGAAAACTGCAGTCCACCTACCCATCAGGGCCAAAGAAAATAAAACTTTCTCAAAGAGTTAAATCTCCTTTGGAATTCCCATCCTCAAAAAGACAGCTGATGCCAAATCTTTAAATATGTTTAAGGTCAAGGTAGATTGATATCCAAAGAAACGAAAGGTTTGTCACGGATGCGCAAGAATGTAAAGTTAAGATTAAAATCAGATCAGCCAAGATCTTATTGAGTGACAGAGCAGACTTGGAGGGCTGTGGAGGTATATTTGTAGGTCACAACACTTCAGCATACAATTTACTCCTCTCAAAACCAAAATCATGTGATTCAGAACAGTAAAATGATTAAACTCACTCAGAAATAGTCCATCTTAATGCAGTCTGGATTCTTATTTAGCAGTTCAGAACGTGAGTGATACTTCAGACTGAAATTTTGTCATAAGACCATAGAAAACATACTGTGCAGATGTATCACAGCTTGGTATGGCAACTGCTCTGCCCAGGATCACAAGAAATTACAGAGATAGTAGGAACTGCCGATGCTGCAGAATCTGAGGTAACAAGGTGTAGAGCTGGATGAACACAGCAGGCCAGGCAGCATCAGAGGAGCAGGAAAGCTTTTTTTTTTCTGAAGAAGGGTCCAGACCTGAAACATCAGCTTTCCTGCTCCTCTGATGCTGCTTGGCCTGCTGTGTTCCTCCAGCTCTACACCTTGCTATCTCACAAGAAATTACAGAGCGTTGTGAACACAGGCCAATCAGAGTTATACAGCACAGAAACAGACCCTTCGGTCCAACTTGTCCATGACAACCAAGTTTCCCAAACTGAACTAGTCCCATTTGTCTGCATTTGGCCCATATCCCTCTAAACCTTTTCTATTCATGTACTTGTCCAAATGTCTTTTAAATGCTGTAACTGTACCTGCATCTGCCACTTCCTCTGGCAGTTCATTCCACACACAAACCACTCTCTGTGAAAATGTTGCCCCTCATGTCCCTTTTAAATATTTCTTCCCACTTTAAAAATGCCCTCTAGTTTTGAACTCTACCCACCCTCCAACTCCTTAGGGAAAAGACCTTTGCTATTCTCATTATCTATGTCCCTCATGATTTTATAAACATCTATAAGTCACACCTCAACTTCTTACACTCCAGTGAAAGAAGTCCTAGCCTCTCATCATAACTCAAACCTTCCATTCCCAGCAACATCATTGTAAATCTTTACAGAACCCTCTCCAATTTAATAATATCTTTCCCGTAGCAAGGCGACCAGAACTGTACACGGTACTCTGAAAGTGGCCTCACCAATGTCCTGTACGACTGTGACATGATGCCCCACCTCCTATACTCAATGGTCTGAGTAATGAAGGCAAGTGTGCCTATTACACAAACCAGCCTTCATACCATTGACTCCATCTATTGTCAACTGCCTCGGGAAAGCAGCCAACATCATCAAAAACCCCTCCCACCCCGGTTATACTCTCTTCCATCCTCTTCCATCAGGCAGAAAATACAAAAGTTTGAAAACACATCCCAACAGATTCAATAACAGCTTCTTCCCTGCTGTTATCAGGCTTTTGAACAGACCTCTCATATACTAGAGTTGATCTTTCTCTGCACCTTCTCTGTAGCTGTAACACTATATTCTACATTCTGTTCTATTACCCTGATGTACTTACATATAGTATGATTTGTCTGGATAGCACACAAAACATTTCACTGTATCTCAGTACATGTGACAATAATAAATCAAGTCAAATCAGATAGTTAATTTTTTTTAATAGAATATAGAATCCCTAGAAACGGGAAACAGGCCCTTCGGCCCAACAAGTCCACACTGACCCATCCCTCTAAAACCCATCTAATATGAATAGCTGTAGACTTAACATTGAACCCTGCGGAACTCCACTAAGTCACCAGCTGCCATTCTGAAAAAGACTTCTTTATCCCCATTCTTGGCCTTCTGCCAATGAGCTAATCCTCTATCCATGCCAGTACCTTGTCCACAAAACAATGTTATTTGTAAAAACTTTTTGTCTTGCACTCATCAGGACAATTTGCAAGAAAACCAACATTTATAACGCATGAGAGTAGTGATTGGTTGGCAAACCAACCCAAACAGGAAGCACACTACAAGGGCAGAGTACCATTGCATGTGATTTCATAGATTCAAAGTATGGGTGGTAATATTAAAGAGTTAACTCACCCCGGTAGGAATACACAGCATGTAAACACACAAAACATCCGCCATCACTAATACGTGGGCTCACCTCACATAAGATTCCTGAGTAACCCTGATCACAGTGACAGCGGAACCCACCGAGCAGGTCCTGACATCGGCCTCCATTCAAACAGGGCTTGCTCGCACACTCGTTCATTTTGAATTCACAATTTCTGCCGACAACTCCACGCGGGCAGATGCATTGGTAACCATACACACTGTCACGCTGAAATATCACAAAGAAGTTAAAGTTGTAATAACATTCATCAGTAACCCACAGACCCACAATAGGTACTCGGCCTTCCAGGATTCTGGAATTTCATCCCCAACCCCCCTCTTTCTTTAAGGTTCTCCTTTAAAATCTACCTTGCCAACCAAACTTTAATATACTGCTGTGGGAGGCAGCGAGGCCCAGAGGTAAGAACCGCACACAGGTAAACAGTCTAGGCGAGTCCTGGAGGTTAGTCCCAGGCCAGGCCAGTGCAGGGGTGACAGAGAATCCCTTGGGGACTACAAGCAAGGACTCCATAATTGATGAAGAAAAACAGAAGTTGCTGGAAAAGCTCAGCAGGCCTGGCAGCATCTGTGAAGGAGAAAACAGAGCTTCGGGTCCGGTGATCCTTCGCCCAGCATCTCCTATAGACTAGGCCTGGTAGTCTGAAACCCGCCACAGACTTGGTTAAAAGACTAAAGTGCGAGTACTTTGTAAAAGAAACCTTCTTTATCCTTTACTCTTAAACTGAACTTTTATTTATGGCCCTCTCAAGTCTGTAACAAATACTTAAGTGTCCTGTACCGAAGACGGTGCCGAGATTACAAACTTTTCACTGCACTCATTCAAACGTATGTGACAATAAAGGCTATTTCTATAGTGGGAGCAAATTACTGCAGAAGCTGGAATCTGTACTGAAAACAACAAATGCTGGAGATCATAGTGGGCCAGGCAGTCTCTGATGAAGAGTCATCTCAACTCGAAACGTTAGCTTGCTCTCGCTCCATGGACGCTGCCTGACTTGCTGTGACCTCCAGCATTTGTTGTTTTCCGTTCAATATACTGCACTTTACCTCCTCATATCATTCAGTGTTGTTTTCTTGTTGGATAATGCTCTTATTAGAAAATATATAAAAATAAAAATTGATTTCGAGGACTAGGGAAGAGGCAATTGCCCCGGGAGAAATTCCAGGGGTATCTTTGTCCTTGTTCTTTCACGGGTTGTGGATGTTGTTGGTAAAGAACAGGACATGTTGCCCACCCCTAGGAGATCCCGAGCTGAAGGGTTTACTCAGTTATCTCAGAAGACAGTTAAGAACAACCATTGTGTTGTGGATCAGGAGTCAGCTGTAGATAAGGACGACAGATTTCCTTCTCTCAAGGACACGACCAGCAGTTATTCAACATTATTCATCCACCTCAGCCTATTTGTACCTTGTGCCATCATAATTTCCCTCGTTATTATTTAATAACCTTACTTCAGAATGAACTACCTCACTTTCAAACATAATGTAAAATTCTACCACATTGTGGTCGCTCTTCCCTAAATCTTCTTTCACAACAGGATTAATTAGCACTTTTTCACCAGAATCACTACAGTGTGGAAAGAGGCCATTCAGCCAATCAAGTCTACACCAACCCTCTGAGAAGCATCCCACGCCAACCCCTTACCCTCTCCCTGTAGACCTGTATTTTCCATGGCTAATCCACCTAGCTTATACCCCCCTGGACACTACAGACAATTTAGCATGGCCAATCCAACTAACCTGCATATCTTTGGACAAAGTAGCATTACATAACGTTTGTTCTAAAGTAGACAGTCATCTAGTTGGTTCTACCTTCTGCTCCAGGAAACTCATCACCAACACATTCCAGAAACTCTTCCTCCACAGCTTTAGTGCTCAGTTGGTTTACCCAACGTATATAGAGATATAAGTCACCCATGATAACTATGTTGCCCATTGTACAAACTTCTCTCATCTCCTGATTAATACCCTGCCTCACACCACCACTACAGCTTGATGATGTATAAATAACTTTGTTTAATGTCTGACAGGTATCCCAAGGAGTGTATCATTTTCACAAGGAGCTGAAGAACCCTGTGCTACAGCACACAATTACCTCTGAACAAAAGGCCTGAGGTATGTTTTAATTTGCAGTGCTTTCTAACAACTAAGACACCTTTAAGCCTGTTGCATTTACGTGAAGCAGGCCATTTTCAAGATCTATTATTTAATCTTAAAATTACTCTTCGCTAGGCCGTTCCTGTGCTAACATGTGGATACTGAAAGGAGAGTGTAATTCAAAAGGCTATTAATGAATATAATTGTTGTTTGGAAGGATACTCTGATGGTTGGGGGTGGGGAGAATGAATCAAGAAGGGAGGAGGCAAGTGTGCAGCACAAACACAGATAGAAATATTTTGGAAGTGTTTCAGTTCCATATAAAGTAACTCTACTGCAAACAGTAGAGTTTTCTTTTCATTGCCTTTCATTACCTTGCATGTCCCTCCATTCTGGCATTGTCCATGGCAGTTATCAACATCTGAAGAGACAACAAGTCCAGAATTACACAATATACCATTTAAAAGCACTCTCCAGAAGGGCCTATAATCCAATTCACTGGTATGAGCCTGCCCCTTTTCATTCACCGTCCCCACCTACACAAACATTGCAGAGCAGTATTCTGTTCTTGGTGTGTAGGCCAAGGACTAGTTGTAACGCATCAGCAGCTGAGTTCCCTGCAGTGAAGAGGGGGTTAGTCTCACAGCTAGAGGAGCTGGGGTTTTCCAGTTTTCAGGCCTACTGCTGTAACCCAGAGACAGGCTTCCTTCAATCCCTCTCTGAGTTCTGAGCTACATGAGGAAACTACAGGCAGCCTTCCAGGGACTCCCTTCCCAAACAGGCACTTACATACAAAAGGACTGCCAGAAAGCAGAAGGGGCAGGGGGGAGAGGGAGACTGGGCAGGGGAAACTCTCACATCCAAGCCCAATCCCTTCCACTGATGCCCACAGCACTTTCTAGCACAACGTTACTGATCAGAGACAGAATTTCCAGTTGACGTCTTTCCCAGTCCCTAACCCGTGTAGCTTCCCTAACAGACTGATGAATACCTCCTAAAACCCATAACCTCCATCATACAGAATGGCACAGATAGGAGGTACATGGGAATAGCATCATTTCCCTCAAGTCAACAACCACTCTGATGAACATACACTTGGGTCAATTTCTTGAAACTCCCCACTATCAGCACTGTAGGAGTGACATGGACTGTATGATTTTGAACAGGGGCAAGGTGCCACCTTTCTCAGGGAGAGCCACATTAAGGGAATCAAAGACCTCACTTGACTCTGTTATTCAGTGACCCATCTGGGGGTGGGGAGCACCTCTGATCTGAAAAACACTTGCGTATTATTACAAACTAATGGCATGGGCGCTGAATCGGTCCCTTCAACCTGCTCCGGCAATCAACAAGATCGTGAGCGATCTGTTTGTGTTTCCAATTCCACATTGTCATCCACCTGCCCGATAATCCTGTACTTCCCCGCTGCAAGACTTCAAAACCGTGCGCGTATATTTTCATGGACATGAGATCACAAAGTGAATACTGACGGATGTCACAGTTTAGTCCAGACCATCCCAGGAAGCAGTCACAGTAATATCCACCAATCAAGTTTCTGCAAGAATAAGCATTAACGCAAGGCTCCGTCTCACATTCATTAGCATCTGTGGGAGGATGTGGAGAGGCAGGGAGAGAAACACAGAGAGAGAAAGGGACAGTCAGCAACTTTAGCTCAAAAAGCAAGCAAAGTGGAGAAAGACCCAAACATGTACATCAGCAAGAAACCACACCACCTCATGCATTGTTAAATTTCTGAGCAGACATATTGGACCCAAGATAGCATCTTTAACACAGTAAGTTGCTACCATTTGGAATGCTTTGACTGGAAGGGTAATAGAAATAGATTCAATGGCAATATTTCAAAGAGACTCGAACAAACCATTCTAGGGAAAACATTACTGAACGATGCGGATTGGGATCAATTGGATAGCTTCAACCAAAGAACTGGCGCAGGCCCAATGGGCTGAAAGGCGCAGGAGGAGCCCAATCAATTATGAGTTTCATATTTCAACATCGTTCCAATCAAACTGCCTGACCATGCAATGACTTTTCCTTTTAGGTTATACCAGACCCTGCTCTGCCTAGTCCATTGTTGGGAGCTCAGAGTTTTTTTTAATTCATTTGTGGGATGTGGGCATCATTGGCTGGGCCCAGCATTTATTGCCCGTCCCTAGTTGCCCCCTCGAGAAGGTGGGGGTGAGCTGCCTTCTTGAACAGCTGCAGTCCATGTGCTGTGAGTTGACCCACAATGCCCTTAGGGAGCGAATTCCAGAATTTTAGCACCTCTGCATCCTGCAGCGACTTCTCACCATCGTGACAGAGGGTAAAGTCCTCAGGGATGCTAACACAGAGCATAAAGGTTTCACAGCTGTCTGTTTGAGCCTTGCCTTTAGAGTAGGAAAACAGGTCAAAACTATTTAGCCTGGCACACCCTGTTTGATTAGATCAGCAGGACGGAAAATGGTAGCTTAATTCCATCAAATCCACCTTAGCATTTGTCCCTTAACACCTTTAACAATATCAAAAATACTGCTCCCAGTTCTGAAAGTTTTGAAACGTTCCCCGGCCTAGCTATTTCAGGGGGAGAAAGCTCCAGACTACTGCTACTGTTAAATGGCACAGTTTCAGCAACGTCCTCAACATCGAATCTGCAAACTTCAGCAATGTGCCCATTCGGAGATGCTGAGGGAGGGTGAGGTAGGCAAAAGGGGCTTCCAAATGTAAAGTAAGTGGGAAAAATCTTGACAACAAAATCTGCCAAGTGATGGGATTGGTCCCAGGCGAGCTAATGTAGGAGCAAAGGTTCCTCCTGCAAACATATCAGCCAGATTCCCACCCAAAGAAAACACTTCAAATTTATTACAGGGTCAGGTGCCTGCTCATGATATTAATACATTTTCCTGGCCACCACAGAAGATCATATATTTTGCTTCCCTATACAGCAATCACCACAATTTAAAAAACAGGAAACAGAAGTTAGTAAATGTAGGGCTTCAGGAAAGAAACTCAGCACCACCACCAAACAAGGCACCAGACTGAAACAATGCCAACCGTATTCAAGGCTAAGCACCACACCTCAAGGAACCCAACCCCAACATGCACCAAGAGCTGTAGTCATCATACAACAAGATCCTGCGCTCTGCAAGTCATTTGGCCTCTTCAGCCTGTTTTCCCAAATCATTAGCTGAGCTGTCTGTTAAAGGAGATTATCTGTGACCATGAACACTCCTGCAGACAGATTATTTCCAAACAGAAGTCAAAATGAAGTTCCTTACCCAGCTGGCAAGTTTTCCCAATCCACTGCTGAGGGCAGATGCACTCAAATCCATTGACATGATTAATACAAGTCCCACCATGTGCACAAGGGCTGGAGTCACATTCATTTATATCTGTAGACAGAGTGGTCCCAAATTAATAATGAAGATAATTACTGCATAAAGATTATTGCAAAAAAATTAGGTTTTACGGGCAGGTAAAGTTTAACTCAAATCTTTGAACAATGTCCAACTTCTACGCTACTACACAAGCAGCCCATCATCAGACTGAACTGAAATGACGACTTTGACAGAGTGAGCACTCAATGATAATGATACATTGGCCAGTCCTGAATGTAAGAGGTAGCTAATCTGCCTCTTAATACCTGCAGTGTATTACTCGGTGTCACCCAGGAATGCCAGTAGACTGTGGATTCCAGCCAGATATAGGGGAGTGTAGGGAGTATCCATCAGCACAGTTAGAGTGGTGAAACCGAAATGTTAAAGTGAGGTCTCACTGTGTCTCGGCTCCACAATGTTACTGAAGAGGAAACAGCGAGTCTTTGATAACAGTGTCCAGGCCAACATTCCTCCTTCAGCCATCACCGCCAGAAACAAATTTCATTCCCACCTTTGGGATCCTGCAATGTAAAATTCAGCTCCCCGTGTGCCCTCAATTATCAGCCCATTGTAATGACATGTGATCACCAGCAGTGGCTACGGTATAGTGACAATGACACTGGACTAATAGTACCAGTTCTAAGGAAGGGTCACCGGACCCGAAACGTTAACTCTGTTTTGTCCTTCACAGATGCCGCCAGACCTGCTGAGCTTTTCCAGCAATTTCTGTTTTGTTTCCTGATTTACAGCATCTGGAGTTCTTTCGATTTTTATTCTGGACTAATAATCCTTGGCTATTGCTTCCACAGAAGGCTGTGCAGGTCCAAGTCACTTAACATCTTCAAGAAAGTGACAAATAATTTGTTTAGATTTTAAAGGAATCAAGAGGGGTACAGGGAGGAAGCAGGAATATGGCATTAAGGTACAGATCAGCCATGATCCTATTGAATGGCACTGCAGGCTCAAAGGGCCGATTGGCCTACTCCTGCACCTAGTTTCTGTAAGTGTTGGCAAAGTGCTTTGAGACATTTAGAGACCTGATAAAGAGCTGTGTGACTTTTTAAAAGAAGATTTACAGGATGTGTGTCACTGGCTTGGCACTATTTATTACCCTTCCCTCACTGTCCTTCAAGTGGTGGTGGTAAGTGAGTTAGCTTATTGCACAGCGGGGTATCAGCAGGGTAGGCACACCTACAGTGCTGTTAGGGAGGGATTCACTGGATTTTCACCCATTCAGTGACACATTTCCATGTCAGTACGACATGGGTTCGTGCGGAACTTGCAGGCAGTAATATATTTTCCCTTTGTCCCTCTGAAGGCGGTAGCTCTGTAGTGCACAGGTTGTTTAGAAGTGCAAGGGTGAAGGGCAGAAAATGCCAGCTTTCCAATGTAATTTTCACCATTTCATTTGGTTCGCCTTGAATATTGCACTAACCGTGTCCAAAAGTCATTCAGATGGCAAGCTGCTTCATCCTTCTTCTCAAATTAAAACAGTAGGTATTTCCCACTCGACATAATGCACCAAACCATCACAGATATCACCCCAAGCTCAATGACCATGTGATTGATGGAGTACACGGCTTTGGAAGGAAACTTTCCACTGGACAGGCCAAAACAGAGCTCCCAAAATGCCAAATGGATACAACAGCAAGGATTCGACCACAACACAGTGATTCCTATTGTTAAACAAGATGGTCAACATAACATTTTGCCCTCATTTCCTCTCTCCCCACTGCCCAGTGCTCTCTCCATCTGTCATTAACCTGAATCTGCAATGCATTCATGGCACTGGAGGGTAAGCCCAGCTCTGTAAGGTTGATGCACAGGTCACAAATATTGGTATTTGGTTCAGGGAAGCACAGTGTACAGAAATCATTCACCTCTGGCCTCCCTAAAGATACAAAAACAGAAATAGTGGAGAAACTCAGCAGGCCTGGCAATGTCTGAAGAAAGAAAGCTGAGCTAATGTTTCAGGTCCTGTGACCCTGCTTCAGACATTCCCCAAAGATACCATCAGAGTAACAGTCAGAGAGGTAAAACTCTGCTTAAACTGCTAAGTGAGGTACATAAAAATGTGTAACATCCTGGCATCAATTCAGACATGAACCTTTTACCCTTACCCCGCTTTCAAACCCAGTCTCTATTTGCCTGGTTTATGCTGGAGCTGCTCTTCAAGTCTGTGTTCAGCCCAAGGAAGTGAGACATATAAAATGGGGAAGTCTGAACTTAACTGCGCTCCCTCAGGGTACACCCTGATATCCAGTGCAGTCGCAAGGTTACGACTCCCTGTTGTTACCCAGTGAACATCAATGAGAGCTGGTGAACCTTGTTAAGGTCCATTCTATCTCCTCTGTTAGGCCTATCTGTTGCACATGCTCTGGAGGTGGTGACCTATTGGTCACTTTACACCAGGGGAAGCAGCGACCTTTTGTTCAGGCTCCCCAGTGAGGTCACTGACACTATCCAACAGGAACAAATCTCTCTCAGAAATACCTCCTCTGGGCTGTGCTCCTCAAAGTCGTTTCACAAAGACAGGCTTTGGCCAGGGACACCGACGGGAAGGTTCTCCCCAAAGGGGACAAGTACAGAATAAATATTTTTACTTCCTATGAACAGTAAGTAGGTGACAAATGTTGAACAGCTGTTAATCCCATTGCAGTGAAATGGGGAAAATGTACATCAATGCAAATGCAGATTGATGCTGGTCAAGGTACACAAATGCATTCTGAATGTTCCAAACTCCAAATAATTCCATAGAGTCATAGGGATATACAGCATGGAAACAGACTCTTCGGTCCAACTTGTCAATGCTGACCAGATATCCTAAACTGACCTAGTCCCATTTGCCAGCATTTCTATTCCTATTCATATACTCATCCAGATGCCTTTTAAATGCTGTAATTGTACCCACCTAAACCACCTCTTCTGGCAGCTCGTTTCATACACGCATCACCCTCTGCGTAAAAAGTTGCCCCTCAGGTCCCTTTTATATCTTTCTCACCTTAAACATATGTCCTCTGGTTTTGGACTCCCCTGACCTGGGAAAAAGACCTTGGCTATTTACCCTATTCGTGCCCCTCATGATTTTATAAACCTCTATAATGGCTCCACGGAAAATAGCCCCAGCCTATTCAGCCTCTCCCTATAGCTCAAACCCTCCAACCCTGGCAACATCCTTGTAAATCTTTTCTGAACCCTTTCATGTTCCACAAACTCTTTCCTATAGCAGGGAGACCAGCACTGAATGCAGTACTCCAAAAGTGGCCTAAATAGTGTCCTGTACAGCCGCAACATGACTTCCCAACTCCTACACACAATGCACTGACCAATAAAGACAAGTGTACCAAATGCCTACCTCACTATCCTGTCTACCTGCGACTCTGCTTTCAAGGAACTATGAACCTGCACTCCAAGGTCTCTTTGTTCAGCAACACTCCCCAGGACCTTGCCTTTAAGTGTATAAGTCCTGCCCTGATTTGCCTTTCCAAAATGGAACACCTTACATTTGTCCAAATTAAACTCCATCTGCCACTCCTCAGCCCATTAGCCCACCTGCTCAAGGTCCCGTTGTACTCTGAGATAACCACCTTCATTGTCCATGCACTTTACTTATTTGTAGCCCTGAACATACCCGATTTTAATTGTTCAACCATTAGAACTCATGCCTTCAGACACAGTGGCTCCAAACTCTGGAATTCCATCCCTAAACCTCTTCTTCACCTCTGCCTCTTCTTTTAAGATACTCCTTAAAGCCTTTAAGGTTTTTAAGACATTGAGCCGAAGGGTCTGTTTTTGTGCTGTGTTACTCTATCACACCTTTTTGACTAAGCTTTTTGAACATCTGATCCAATATCTTACATGAAGTGGTGTCATATTTCGCTTCATAATGCTCCTGTGCAACACTTTGGCAAGTTTTTGGATGTCATTGTCATTCTTTAAGTACAACTGGATAGGGACCTACCAATTTCACAGGTTGTTCCATTCCAACCCAAAGCACAAAGGCACTCAAAACCAGATGGGACCTCGTGGCAGATCCCCCCGTTCACACATGGGTTAGACACACAAGCATGGTCAGCTGGGAAAGAAACAAAACAAAAGGTCAGACAGCCAGAGTTAGAATGAGATTCAAACATGGAGAAAGAATTCTCCCAAACCTAGTCAAACCCAGGATTGAGAGAGGTCATTTTAACTCATTGGTCATTGATGCTGCCTACTCAGTACAGAATGTTTAGGATTAGAACCAGACATCAGGTATGTCACAGGACTGAAATCATGGATCCCAAACCAAGATACAGAGACAGCAATGCAAGGTCTGAACTGGAGTCTGTATATTTAACATGACAATTATAAAGATGAAGCTCTCTGGCTCAATACGCCAGCGTTAGCTCAAAGGACAGTTCCTCATTTTCATGGTTCTAGATTTATCCTTTCCAAGTACTTAACCAATTCCCCTTTAAATGTAACAAGCACTACTCCAACAACCCTCCGTGCTAAAGCATTCTCTCTTCGACTAACTCAATTTGAAAACGTTTCTTCGAACTTCATCCTTGGTTTCTCCAGCAAAAATCCTCAACTCTTTGCGTATCCTCCCCAATCAGTTCAATAAATAAATTGCCTGCTCACTCTCTCAGCTCTCCAACTATTCAAGGTGCCAGGGGTTGATGGGAAAGAGAAAGGAAGCTCGAGGTGCTGAATGGTATGCAGCTTGTGCCTATGTCTATATGTTTCTGAGCTCCTCCAATTGCATTCCCAAACAGGAACTGCTCCAGTAGGGGTCTTTATTCGCATTGGCTCTCAAGGCCTTGGAATTCCATTCCTAAACTTCTCGTTCACGTTGTTCCTTAAAGCCTCTCTTTGACCAAGCTTTGAGCCATCTGCCCTAACATCTCAGTGTGAAAGGTTACTTTATAAGCGCCCATAAGAGGGGACATGGGGATTTTACAATACATGTTACTAGTGCTTTGTTTTTGATTGCCTTTCAACTGTACTTTCCAACCCCACAACCCTGACTAACACGAAGGACAAGGGCAGCAGATACATGGGAACATCAGTACAAGTCACTCACCATCTTGACTTGGACCAAAATCAGCCGTTCCTTCACTGTTGCAGGGGCAAAATGCTGGATCTCCCTCCCTAAGGGCATTGAGGGTCACTCTACAGCGGGTCATCACCACAGTCCAAGGCCAATCAATATTGGCCAAGAAACCAACGTCCACATCATGTGAAAGGATGGATTTTAAAACATCATGGATGTGCGGGGTGCACCCCTCCCCCCTATTGGGGTGGAGGTGGCAGGGGACGAGAGGGCAGAAGAAAAAAAAACTCAGGCAGACATCCAGCACACATTACCTTTACTGAATAAAGTGTACAGGGGTAACAGGATGAGGCTTGCCTACAAAGTACTTCTCTCTTGTATCTCCTACACTCCCCCAAAAAGGAGCCATTGATTAATCTTCTAATATCGTACTACCTGATTACACACAAAAGGACAGCTGCAGGGCACAGGAGCCAACAAAACTGCACCCCTTGGAAAACGGCACTCCCACTGTATGTGAGTACAGAGGTGGCTCTGCAGCTATGCACACTTACCGTTATGACAGGTCTTGCCAGAAAACCCTTCCGGACAAAGGCACTGGTATTCATCAGGCTCTGTGTTCATACAGGTCCCTCCATTGATACAGGGATGGTGTGTCCCACAGTAATTCAAGTCTTCAGGAATTAAAAAAAAATGGTTTTAAGTTAAAGGGTGGCACACAGAAACCAAATGCACATATTCAAAAAACCACACACTGTGAACAAATGACAACTTGTCATTTACCCAGAGAAACCTGGGATCATCAAACACTGACCAGCCAGGAACATAATTCAATCTTCACATAGATGCTAAACAATTTTGCTTTTAACCTGTTGTTTGACCAACTAAATCAAACGATTAAAAGTTTGGGAGTTAATACTATAGCAATGAGCTTATAGACTGTAACATCACCTCTCTAGGTCTTGCTTAACCTATAGTAGACGAACAGGAGGCTGGGTCCTGAAGAAGGATAATACCTGAAACATTGACTGCTCTTTTCCTCCAGATGCTGCCTGGTTTGCTGTGTTCTTCCAGCCTCCTGTCTATCTACCTTAGATTCCAGCATCTGCAGGGTTTTTTTGTCTCTAACCTTGTTTAACCTATAGCTTATCAAGTACAAACTGACAGCCACAACTGTAGGTAGGAGATGTGGAGCTGGTGTTGAACAAAAAAAATGATATTCATGGGACAGACACTGTTGATGATTTTTTTCAGTTTAGAGAGAACACAGTGTGAAGGACTCACAGCCATCTGAAGAGAAGGGAAAAGAAAACATGAAGGGAAATACATGGTGCAGACTGTCCAGGCTCTTAAATGTTGCCGGATCCAAAGAGCTGGATAAAAGTTTGAAAAAAAAAACTGAGAGTTGCTGTATAAGACTTGTGATGGTAAACTCTAAAGGCTTGTATAGCTCAGTGCACCAAGTTAGAAATTACTGTGTTTGGGAGGAGATAGTCAGTTTTAATGAATGGCCTGCTGTAGTTGTTCTCTCTGTTAGTGTTGCCTCTACAGACAACCATGCAACTCAGAAGAAGACATGAGACAGAAACAGGTCTGGCAGCATCTGTGGAGAGAAAGCAGAGTTAATGTTTCAGGTCCAGTGACCCTTCCTCAGAACTGACAGTAGCTAGGAAAAGGTGGTATATATTGCTGAAGACAGGGGGTGCTGGCGGTGGTCAGGGGTGGTAAAAGGTGTAAACGATAGTTGGAAATGGAGCCCAGAGTGGGGAAAGACAGGTAGACAAAGGGATGACTAATGGTAAGCCAGGGAAACAGAAAAGCTGATAATCGGAGATAGCTAGAACTGCAGATGCTGGTGTCAAGAGTCGATACAGTGTGATCGATACTGATGACGGGTCTAGGCCTGAAACATCGACTCTCCTGCTCCTCTGATGCTGCCTGACCTGCTGTGTTCCTCCAGCTCCACACTGTATCGATGAAAGCTGACAGTGGGTTCCCTGACTTACCATTAGCCATCCCTTTGTCTGCCTGTCTTTCCCTCCCTCTGGGCTCCATCTCTACCTATTGTTTACTCCTTATACTCCCCACCCACCAGTACTACCCCCAACTTCAGTCATATATACCACCTTTTCCACTAATCAATTCTTAATAAGGGTCTATGGTCCCTGAAATGTTAACTCTGCTTTCTCTCCACAGATGCTGCCAGACCCACCGAGTTTCCTCAACAATTCCTGTTTATGTTTCAGACTTCCAGCAACCGCAGTTCTTTGTTTTATTTTAGAAGACATGAGTATCTCCGAAGAGATGCCAGGGTAACCTATCAGTATGTTGCATTTCTCTCTCCTTACTCCTCTGTATCTTGTTATCTTACACTATTTAAATAACCCTGCTGGTTACTCAGGAACCAGCCTCTTCTGCCAAGGTGGTGCATGGTCACCCATCACCACTCATTAAGTCTCAAGACTAGTACTGCCAAGAGAAACTGTTAGCAGCATTTCTACCCGAAGAAAATCCTTTCAGAGCCAGGTGACAACTGTAGGCATTTCATTTGGCAAATATACCATGACAGTGATGGACACTGTTGATGCTTCAGCTTAGGCAACACAGTGTGCACGATCCACAGCCATCCGAAGAGAAGGGAAAAGAAGCCACATTTTAAAAACGTGACTGCCTTGTTAAGAATCCAGTAAAGGTTAAATAGAAGCTTAGGTCAAGTCAGACTCTATACCAGCAGCAGCCAACAACTCAGAGCAGGTATAGCTGTTAGCAACAGCAAGTTTATCTTCTCTTTCAGTGTTTAAGCAGCTTCAATCAGCCAGAAACAGAGAAAACAGCATTCTTTTAAAGCTCGTGAAGACCAGGAGCAGTCTCACTAAAGCTAGAAGGATAACATCAGTGCGAGATCTGAGAGAAAAGAGGTGGCTGATATTGGAATCCAGAAGTAAGTTAGTCTGGTAGAGGAATGGTGAAAATAACTTACATTCACAGCAAAATTCTGGGCTGGGGAGCTGAAAGAAGGCTTAAATCCATCATATATTTCTTGAACAAATAGTTTTTACCATTTAAAATGATTATAAACTGCGGAAAGTGATTCTAAAATGAGGTAATACTTTATGAAATGTACTAAACCATCAATCAACATTCTTATTAGAACCTGAAAGCTGAAGGCACAAGGCTCTTATAAAGAACCATGTTAAATTTTTACCGGAGATCCAAAAAAATCTGAAAGGTACAAAAACTCTACAACACTATTTTCTTCTGTTAAAAAGGGCAGAAATTAGAAAGTGTGTGAATCAGCCATGTTGTTAGTAAGAACAGCAAGCCCACCATGCAGGGTAACACGGCACCAATTCTCCATTTCAGCACTTCATATCAAAATCTTAAATTGATGAGGAAATGACAACTTCAAACAGTTTTTAAGTATTCAAACCATTAAAAATAAATGTAAAAACTTCACTGAGAGAACACCCTTACAATTTAAAGATCTTAAGAAATGTTACCTTAAAATACAGAAAAATTTCAAAGAATTGAAGAAAGAAACCTTTATTAAAGCAACAACTCATTACAATTTAACAGTCTATAAAAAAGGCTGCATTCTACTTTAGCAGTAATTAACATTATTCTACAATTTTTAAAAAAATTCTCATGCTAGGAATTCTGCGACAAACAGAATCAAAACCATAATTCAAGCTTCAAGAAAAGCTGAAGATATAGCAGGATGTCAATATTTGTTTCAAAAAGCTTTCAGAACTTAAAGGGAGGAATTTAAACAACGAATTGGAACAAGCTATTCCACCTTCAGGCATACTCAAGGTTACAGATACTTCAGATAGAGTTAGTCAGCATGGAAGAAACAACTTGTGAGCTACAGACTTGCTTACGACTTACGCAGCAAACCATATGCAGATCAAGTTAACATTCTGCTTTATACTGTGGGACCACTACTAGGCAGAGAGAAACAGTTACAAGTTAATACTAATACCTTTGATGCCATCTTAAATGCATTTGACACTATTTTACTTTAAGAAGCAATTGCATTTTGGAAAGAGTAAGATTCAATACAAGAGCACAGTTTCCACGATAACCTGTGAACAACTTCATCAAATGATCCTTATACATGGTCTGAATCTTGTGAACATGACGCATTTTGACCAGAACTAATCAGAGACAGAATGGTCGATGGACTTTCTGATTCATCTCTTTCAGATCTTTAACAAGCGAAGGAAGATCTCACACTGGAAAAGGCTATCCAGATTGTGTTAGAAGCTGCGATTCGGAAAAACCACAGAAGAATCTGGGGAACAGAAGGACAAATTTACTCCAGAAGACCATCAAACCTATCCAGCTCATAAGGTACAAACACTCCAAACAATCACCCGACAAACCAACGCACAGAGTCTTCAAATCTATTGATGCAAGGGGCCACTTCCAAGATGGAGCAAACCCAAAACCACACAAACAAAAGCAATATATGGCTCTATCATAGCTCTCTCCCTATGACCTTCCCCTTTATCATAAGGTCAGAAGTGGGGTTGTTTGCTGCTGATTGCACAATGCTTAGTACCATTCACAATTCCTCAGATACTGAAACAACATCCAGGTTTGGGCTGACAAGTGGTAATTCACATTCACTTCATACGAGTGCAAGACACTGACCATCTCCAACAAGAGAGAATCTAACCATCTTCCCTTGGTATTACTGTAACTGAACTCCCCACCATCAGCAGTCTCAGGATTATGACTGACGAATAATTGAACTGGACAAACAATATAAACACAGTGGCTACAAGAGCAGGTCGGAGGCTAGGAATACTACGGCGCTCGCCAAAGCCTGTTCACCATCTACAAGGCACAAGTCAGGAGTGTGATGGAACACTCCCCACTTGCCTGGATGGGTGCAGCCCCAACAACACTCAAGAATCTCAACACCATCCAGGATAAAGCAGCCCGCTGAATGGGATCCTGAGTAATATTTTCAACATTCACTCCCTTCGTCTCCCAACGCACAGGGGCTGCTGTGTGCACCATCTACAAGTTGCACAGAAATGATTCACCAAAACTTCTTCGACAGCATCTTCTAAACGCGCAAGCTTTAGCATCTGGAAAGACAAGGGCAGCAAACATATAGGCTCACTGCCACCTGTATGTTCCAAGCCACACATCACCCTGAGTTGGACTTATTTTACCGCTCCTTCAAAATCACTCAGTCAAAATCCTGAACTCTTTTCTTAACAACTACGCCTCATGGCCTGCAAATGGTTCAAGAAGGCAGCTCACATTTAGGGATGGCCCAGGCAGCATTCTTCCTGTGAATGAATTTTTTAAAAAAATCACAAGAATGTCCTATTTGTAAGAAAAGTGGGCCGATTTCAAAAGGATATACAAGAACGAGAACTGAACCATAAGTAACTGCAAAGTAATCCATACATTATACAAAGTATCTATTACCAATATGATCTCAACTAGAAGACAACTTTCCAGGTCTTGTAATAATGTGCACTGAAGCAGAAATACACACCAATTGAAAAGGGGAGGTGATGGCCTAGTGGTATTATCACTAGACCTATTAATCCACAACTACCAGTGATGTTCTGGGAACCCAGGTTCAAATCCCGCCACGACAGACGGTAGAATTTGAATTCATTAAAAATCTGGAATTCAGACTCTAATGATGACCATGAAACAATTGTCAGTAAAAACCCATCTGGGTCACTGATGTCCTTTACGGAAGGAAACTGCCATCCTCACCTAGTCTGGCCTACATGTGACTCCAGACCCACAGCAATGTGGTTGACTCTGAACTGCCTTCTGGGTAATTAGGGATGGACAATAAATGCTGACCTGGCCAGTGATGCTCATACCCCATGAATGAGGAGAAAAGAAGAATCAGCTACATTAGTGTTTGTGAACATTTTAATATTCCCAGCGGAGAAGGCATCATTTACTTCACACGGCTGGAAGAACTCTTTATTATCCTCCAACCAGGAGAGAATCTTCAGTCGAAAATGTGCCAAAAACAGGGATAACTCATCAAACAAAAAGACAACATAACAGGCTTGGAAATGTCCATCCAGAACAGCCTGGCAACAAGGTTGAAAAGAGAAGACTATTTCTCACACCTCAACAATCTTCTTTTGTCACACATTTTGAAGAAATTTTAAAAATCCTCTAGACAAAGTAGTCCATGCAACATTCGCAAGACTTTGCAGTGAAAGATGTCAATGTTCAACATTCATCCTCGAGATGGAGATCATCTATGTATCCATCCTACCTTTGTGTAGTGGGTTAACTGAGGAAGACAGAGTTCAGCAGATAATTTGTATGAGACAGCCGGCCTAAAAGTGTAAACTTTAAAGTCTTGTATGATCCTGGCTACTATGACTGTCTTGGGGTGGAGATAGTTCTAGTGAGTTGACTGCTGTAGCTGTTCTGATCTGCCAGTCTTACTTCTACTGTTAACAACCATATAATTTGGGTTAACGTGGTATCTCTAGGGGAGAGTCATGAATTCTAGCAATGCAAGGTAGCTCCCTCCTTACTGACTGTGATCTACTGACTTGCTCCTAGCTAATAAATCTTTTTGTTACTCAAGAACAAACCTCTCCTAAGACTTCTTGTGTCCAAGGCAGCCTCTGAGCTAGCACTAACAAGAGGGACTGGTGACAGCATATATACCTAAACAAGATTCTCTCAGATACAGGTGAAAGCTGCAGGTAACTCTCACAACAAGGGACACATGAAACAAACAAGAAGTACCCCAAAGTATTGTGTGTGCCCTAATGAATGCTACAGTGTACACTCAGTTCTCCACATTATAAGCCTCTTAATAAATTTGTGGGGGAAAATATACAGTTCTCAAACATGTGGAACCACAATTCCTGGTAGAGTCATGATAACTGGCTCCAAGGTAACCGACTATTCATGAAGGATATGCTAATCAGGAACAGGGGAAGTGAGGTTACAAATGATGTGCATACAAAGCCACAAAACCATTGGCAAAAAACATTTTACGTTGAAATACAAAATGATAAGTGTAACTCAAGTGGCTAATCTTCTCAAAAACAATATTAAGACCAGGACTGGAATTTCAACGAGATGTACTGATTAATTGATGAGAGAAACTTTCACTATGTCTAACTGCAAAAATACAGATTCTATTCATTAAGTTTGACTTGCATCTAGAAATACCACCACGGTACAGGGCACTTCAGCAAGATTCTGATGACAATATGCTGGTCTCTAGGACTATCAACAGCACTAGGTAGCACACTGAGAATCCCACACCTTGATTAATTCAAGTTCCTAATAGGATAGTGGGCCAAATACGTAAATGAATCCACTCACAATTATTAAATAAATATTGCATAACATTTACAGTGCAGAAACAGTCATAGGATCATAGAATACAGCCATAGGATCCCTACAGTGTGGAAGCAGGCCATTTGGCTCATTGAGTCCACACCGACCCTCTGAAAAGCATCCCACCCAGAGTCACCCTACCCCCATCCTTGTAATCCTGCATTTTCCTTGGCCAATCCACCCAACCTGCACATCCTTGGACTGTAGGAGGAAACCCATGCAGACACGAGGAGAATATGCAAACTCCGCACAGACCATAGCCCGAGGCTGGGATCAAACGCAAGTCCCTGGCGCTGAGAGGCAGCAGTGAGCAAAGAACAAGAACAAAGAAAATTACAGCACAGGAACAGGCCCTTCGGCCCTTCAAGCCTGTGCCGATCCAGATCCTCTATCTAAACCTGTCACTTATTTTCCAAGGGTCTGTATCCCTCTGCTCCCTCCCATTCATGTATCTGTCTAGATACATCCTAAATGACGCTATCGTGCCTGCCTCTACCACCTCCACTGGCAACGCGTTCCAGGAACCCACCACCCTCTGCGTAAAGAACTTTCCACGAATATCTCCCTTAAACTTTTCCCCTCTCACCTTGAAATTGTGGCCCCTAGTAATTGAGTCCCCCACTCTGGGAAAAGCTTCTTGCTATCCACCCTGTCCATACCTCTCATGATTTTGTAGACCTCAATCAGGTCCCCCCTCAACCTCCGTCTTTCTAATGTAAATAATCCTAATCTACTCAACCTCTCTTCATAGCTAGCGCCCTCCATACCAGGCAACATCCTGGTGACCCTCCTCTGCACCCTCTCCAAAGCATCCACATCCTTTTGGTAATGTGGCGACCAGTGCTAACCACTGTGCCACAGTCCAGGCAGGTGAACTGCTCCAGGCCAGTTTTGATGCTCCAACAGTGTTTTCTCACTCTACTTTATCTCACCCGATCAGCATCACCTTTCTCTCCCTCGGATGAAAGATCACTGATGTGCAATGTTCATTATTTCTCTCCGCAGAGACTGTCTGTCCTGCTGAGCTCTTCCAGCAGCTTCTCTGCCCAACTATTACCAATCCCTAGCTTTCACAATATTTCGCTATCTTCCATAATTAGTTTGACAAGTTTCCCCGTAAACGGAACTGGATGTTTCACCTGAGCCAATTACTGGAATAACGAGCCCAGCTTTTCAACATTGTAAAGAAGTTTCTCTCTGATTCTCTACTGAATTTGAGAGTGATTTTACTTAAGTGGAGAAAGGTTGCAGAAAGCTACAGCATGGAGGGATTTGGGGGTCCTCATGTGATTTATGCAAGTTCAGCAGGTAACAAGAAAGCAAATGGAACATTGATCTTTATTTCTGAGGGAACAGAGTATTAAAAAATAGGCAGGTCTTGCTAAAACTATAGGAGGCACTGGTCAGACCACAGCTGGAATACTGTGAAGAGTTATGGGCTCCTTGTCTAAGGAAAGATAGACTGGAAATGGAGCCAGTCCAGGGAAAGTTCACTAGGCTGAGATTGGAGGGACTGTTTTCTGACAAGAGGTTGAGTAAATAGGTTTGTACTCGTTGGAGTTTAGAAGAATGAGAGGCGACCTTACTGAAACATACAAGATTCTTAGGTGACTTGACAGGGGAGATGTGAGAAATTTATTTCCCCTTGTGGGAGAGTCTAAGACCAGACAGCATCATCGCAGTGCAAGGGGTCGCTGAGTTAGGGCTGAGAATGAGGAGGGATTTCTTCTGTCAGTGGGGAGTGAACCTGTGGAGTTCTTTACCACAGAGGGGCTGTCGAGGCTGGGGCATTGAGTATATTCAAGGCTGACAGAGACATTTTTAATCAGGAATGGAATCAAGGATTGTGGGGAAAAGGCAGGAAAGTGAAGCTGAGGATTATCAGATCAGCCATGTTCTCACTGCATGGTAGAGCAGACTCGATGGGCTGAATGGCCCACTTCTGCTCCTATATCTTATGGTCTTCTCATAGTTATCAATCCTAGGCTATACTTAGAACGACTGTAGTGTCCCAGAATGATTTTTAATATGCCAGTGTTCAACAGATGTCAACTTAATAACATACACAGATATTGTACAAGAGTGTGTGCACACACGCGAGGGGGTGAGAAGCTGACAAGTAAACGCTGTCTTAAACAAGCTCCTCCTCTCCATCCTGAATCTGTACAGCAATGCAGGTGTAGCTGCATGGCTCACACATACCTTTGTTACACAGCAGCCCTCCCCAGTTGGTTTCACAGTTACACTGCCACGGCTCCACACATGTCCCATGGACACATCCTGGGTATGGGATACACTCATCACAGAACTGCCCTTGCCATCCATACAGGCAACTGAAAAGACAAAGCATAAAATAAGATAAATTGCTTCACGCACAGAGAGAAGGCAAGGCACAAACACAGCTCCAAGCTACTGTAAGGGGAGGCGATGGCCTAGTGGTATTATCGCTGGACTGTCAATCCAGAGACCCAGGTAATTTTCGAATCCTGCCATGGCAAATGGTGGAATTTGAATTCAATAAATATATGGAATTAAGAGTCTAATGATGACCATAAATCCATTGCTAATTGTCGGGAAAAACCCATCTGGTTCACTAATGTCCTTTAGGGAAGGAAACTGCCATCCTTACCTGGTCTGGCCTACACGTGACTCCAGACTCACAGCAATGTGGTTGACGCTTAACTGCCCTCTGGGCAATTAGGGATGGGCAATAAATGCTCATCCCGTGAATGAATAAAAAAAAAACTCACATCACTAATTGTGAGTATCAACTGTGACTCAGTAATGACACTCTCATGTGAGTTATGGCCATGGAGTCAAGTTGCATACCAGACTGACTTTTCTTTTTCAGTACTGAAGGAATACTTCAGTAGCTAGGCTGCTGTGTTTCAGACGGGGCAGTAAGCTGTAGCCCCCTTCCACTGTCCTTCAGCTCCTACCCCTCAATCCAGCACAGATGGAATGGCCGATCATCAAACAAACAGTGACTTGGGTTTATCGCTCCATGAAGCTGCCTGACCTGCTGTAACATTTTGTTTTGATGGTATGATGGCCCTTTGTTAAAAGCTCACACGGTTCTGGCATGACATTATTCGGGAGAAATCTTCGGAAAGTTCAAAGGATTGTTCAAATTCCATCAGAAGCAGGTTGAGAATTGGAATTCAGCAAAGGTTAATACAGTGTGGGTGAGATGGTGATGCAGTGGTATTGTCACTAGAATAATAATCCAGAGGTTCATGCAGCACAGCGATAGTGTCCCTACCTCCAGACCAGAAGGCCGAGGTTCGAGTCCCACCTGCTCCAGAGGTGTGCCATAACATGTCTGGCCAAACTAACCCTGCTGCCCCGATCCAGTCTGGTATATAACGGTCTGAAATCCCACATCAACATGGTCAAATGTTAGCTATATTTGAAAGTGTCTGAGAGCATGGGTGTGTTGTGTCAAAACGATTATTTAGCATGTTCACCAAGCATATGGACTGCAGCAATTGTGGGTGATAGCTAGAGGTGATCTCCTAGTAATGGCCTCACCAGTGACACCCATCTCCTGCGAAGGGAGGCAGTGGATGTTCCAGACTGACGCTGTCTGCCTCAGGAGATGTGAAAGAGGAGGAAACATGCATTTATACAACCGCCTTTAACAACCTCAGGTCGTCCCAAGGAGTTTCTACACCTGATTAATTCCCCTTTTCTTTGAAATGCCGTAATGAAGCAAAACATAGGCCAACTTGCAGGACCTTGCCAAGTGGCTGCTGTATTTCCTACATGACTTTAGCAGTGTTCCCTCGATTTTTACACAATTGGCTCTTTGCAAACCAACAGCAGAAAGCAGAAACCAAACTTTTGTTTGAATATAAATGGTGAGGGATTAGAGTGGGAGGGAGAAATAGTTGTACACATTCCGCAGCAGGTGTACAGACACTACCAAACTTATCTCCCCACCTTAACTTCACTCGAAAACTGAGCCAGATTTGCTCCGGCATAACCCAAACCAGCTGTTAAGATTCGCCACACTGCAGTAACAGGCTCCTACCCCTGGAGCAGGTCTCAACACACGGTACCGCCTTGCTGAAAGACTACACATTGGTTTCCTTACAGCTGAGACACTTAAGGTGAGATTTACCTGGAGTTGTTCAAAATTAGGAAGGGTTGTCTTTGAGTAGAAAACGGATAAGCTGTTCCCCTCTTTTTTAATTCATTCACAGGATGAGGGTGTTGCTGGCCAGGCAGCATTTATTACCCATCCCTAATTGCCCAGAGGGCAGTTAAGAGCCAACCACATTGCTGTGGGACTGGAGTCACATGTAGGCCACACCAGGTAAGGGCAGTAACATCCATTCCCTAAAAGGACATTAGTGAACCAGATGGGTTTTTCCAACAATGGTTTCATTCAATTCTCAATTCCAGACTTTTTTTTTTACTGATTTCACATTCCATCATTGAGGGAGAGGTGGTGGCCCAGTGGTATTAATCGCTGGACTGTTAACCTAGTGACCTGGGTTCAAATCCTGGCCACACCAGACAGTGGAACATGAACTCAGTAAAAATCTGGAATTGAGTATAATGATGACCATGAATCCATTGTCAATTGCTGGGAAAAACCCAACTGATTCATTAATGTCATTTAGGGATGGAAATTTCCATCCTTGCCTGGTCTGGCCTCCACGTGACTGCCCTTTGGGCATAAAGGAAATGGTAATAAATGTCAGTTTGGCCAGTGACACACACACCTGTGAACAAATATAAAATAAACACTGTGGTAGGATTTGAACCCGGGACACCAGAACATTATCTGCCTCTCTAGATTAATAGTGACCAGAGGACACGGAATTTGTGAATTCCTGCTTTTACGATGATCTGGAATGCAATGACAGAGTGAAAGATTCAACAGCAACTGAAGAGAATCGGATAAATTTTTGGCTTAAGGGAATCCTTGGATTAAGGATTAAGGGAATGGGACTAATTGGATTACTCTTCCAAAGAACCAGAACAGGCATAACAGAACGGATGGCTTCCTAGTGCATGACATAATCCTGTGCGTTACTGGAAACAACAGGCAGTCCCTCTGGTTTACAGACTGGATGTTTGTCAGAGGCAGAGGGAGAAGCAGGGGCTATCTGGTGAAAGGTTACTTATCTATTGTCGTAGGCCAGCAGTCAGCTATTTTTATTGCTGGCAGTGATTGAAATCACAACTGTCCCACCATTATTCCGAGGAAAAGTTATTTTAGGATACCTCGCAGAGACCAGAGTCATTGTGTAACTCCATGGCATGGAGACATGCAGATTCCAGCTAAAGGATTCCTACTCGAAATCCAGCCACGGGGGGCTCAGGCAGAAGGTGTTCTATTCACATTTCACCAATAATACCAGCAATTCTGCCAAAAATCCCAAACACACTGCGTGAACAAAAGCTACCACATGGAGGAGTTTGGGAAATGGTATTTAAAGGAAAGCTGGCTCAGAACGAGGGACAGAAGGAATAGAAAGATACAGTGAAATCAAGGAAGATAGGAAAGGTTTGTATGGAGCATTTACACTGATATAGTTCAGCTGGGTCAAGTGATCTGGCTCTGTGCTGTAAATTCTACATTAATATCTTTCCAACCAATGTTCCAACTTCTCAAAGGGCAAGGAAAATAATTAATATATTACCCATGTTTAGTTCTGTAGTTTAAAAGATGGAAGCATCAAGTTACAGCTGTTTTGTCACATTGCTGGCAGGAAGGCTAAAGTAGAGATATTTACAGCACATAAACAATCAGTGAACTAAAAGCAATATACTGCAGATGCTGGAGGACTGAAATTAAACAAAAGTGTTAGAGAAACTCAGCAGGTCTGGTCACATGTGTGGAGAGAGAAACAAGAGTTAACATTTCGGGTCCAAAGAGTCTTCTTCAGGACTCTGGAATTTCAAAACAGAGTCTCTGGACTTGAGATGTGAATAGTTTCCCATCCCCTTGTAGGCAGACCCGCCGAGTTTCTCTAGCAGTTTCTGGTTTGTATTTCACAAGTAGAAAAGAAAATTCTACTGTCACAAATTTGCCAATCAGTGTTATTGAAAGTCAGGTGAGGTATTACTGTGAGACAAAGATCCATGATGTGGAGGTGCCGGTGTTGGACTGGGGTGGCCAAAGCCAGAGTCAAACATCACCAGGTTATCAACCAACAGGCTTATGTGAAATCACAAGCTTTCACAGCACTGCTCCTTCACCTGACGAAGAAACAGCACTCTGATAGCTTGTGATTTCAAACAAACTTGTTGGACTATAACCTGGTGTTGTGTGACTCCCGACAGCGACAAACAGGAGAAGACAAAATCTTCAGTTCAGATTAATAGCTGTTTTCAGCCCTTTGGGCAAGAGAATTGGGGCTAAGTTTTCTCTTAGGAAGTCTACTACTTTGCTTCCTGGCCTTCAGAACTGCTTGGCATTCGGGCAAGTATATAACTGAAATTATGAGAAGATGGTGTAACAGGAATGTGGGCGCATATAATGTTTGTATCAAGCCCAGACAAGGTGGTTGAGATAAATAGAGACGAGCTACATTATACAAACAGAAAACAGAAATTGCTGGAAATAGTCAGCAGATTGGTTCAGAATGATTCTGAAGAAAGGCAGTTGACTAAAATGTTAACTGTTTAGCACTCAACAGATGCTGAGCACTCTCAGAATCCACAGTAAGGTGCTTTTGGATTATGTAAATTTAGGAACATCTTGACTAGACTGTATGAACTTTCCTCTGCTGTTACCTCTTTTGTTAACTCCCTCTCCAGAGGAAGCCCACTCACAAAAGTGTAAAAGGTCCCGCAAATGTTCCTTTTCCCCATAATATTTGTTTTTGAGGTGGAGCCAAAATCTGAGGGTTTGAAGAAAAGATTTTATCTTTAACCCAGGTAAGAATCTAGACTGCACTGCCTGGGAGAGTAGATGAGGCAGGAAACCTCACAACCTGTAAAAAGTACTTGGATGCGCCCCTGAAGTGTCATAACTTTCAAGGCTATGGGCAAAGTATAGGAAAGTGGGGCTAATGTTGATTTAGTGTGGTTTTTGTAAAATCAATGCACTGAAGGGCTTCATGTACTGTACGATTCATCCACAAACATCTAAAATCATTCCCTTGCTGGCTCTGGGACCTTACGGGCAAAACGGCTGCGATTTTTCTCTAAGTTACAACAGAGTCTACACTTCAAAAGTGTAAACCTAATTGGCAGTAAAGGAGTTTAGGAGGGGCAGAAGTCATAACAGAAAATACCTTTGTTGTTTCAGGGCAAGCTTTAAATACTGAAAACACAAAAAACCAGGCTGCGATTCCAGGGGAAGTCCAGGTTACCC